ATGCTAGTGAGCAAGTTGTGGCCAGTGGCCAAAAAAAATAAATCTTGAATATATGTAGATTTTATTATTTTTATTTTTTACTTGTATTTTTTTTGGAAAACCTTTTGGAATAGTCCATCTTAAAATAAAAATTCTGAAGATTCTTTAAAAATGCTTTTTTGTGTTTTACTTAAATGCTTGAAAAAAAAAGCATAAATCTGCAGAGTCTGCAGAGTTTCCGATCAGCGTAGCAGAAAGCTATGCAGGCCTTTTCTTCAGTGCTGTATGTTTTGTCATGGTGCGGTATTTTGAGTGCAGATTACCAATGTCTGCTCATGTTCACACGTGCTCAGACGCTTACAGTAGCAAGAGTTCAGCAATGAATAAGAGCATTCAACAGCGCAGTGTGTCAGGACGCACATCCTGGCTTGGAGACATAGTTAGCTTACTTTATTCTGTCTCAGTTGTCTTGTCCTCTGTCTGCTCTGCATTATCTCTTATCTTAACTTATTATTTTGTCTTCTCTTACTGACATCATTGCCTTGAAAAGCCAGAAATTCCTTACCTGTACCCATGTGCCTCTTCAAGTCTTGACTTGTTTTTTGTGGGTCTTCTATAGGCTGATATACGCTGTAATCTTGATTTGTATGTTCTTTCTTTAAGACATTTTTCATGTGCATGAATAGTGGTGTTTGCTAAGTATCATTATTACAATTACTCGTACTTGGGTTTAAGAATTTGAAGAAAGTAAGCGATTATGTGTGCAATTTTAGCCTTTGTTGGACTATGCAAAAAACAAACGTATAAAAAAATCCTGTTGCAACCACTTAGAACGACATCTAGAGCAACCAAAATGCCCTATCAAACACTCTAGAAATCACACAGGGGCACAGGGCAGGTATCAGTCATATTTTCATCAGAAAATTTAAAAAAGGAACTTGTGGTACATTTTTGTGTTTTGAAAGAGAAAAAGTATCCAGTGACTCATGTCCCGAGGTTACATGGGGTGGTGTTGTAGTGTTTATTTGTTTGAGAGGTGAGAACCGGTAAGAAGATCCTCTAGTGTCTGTACTGTTTTTTTGTAAATGTGTAGCTATGAATTGATGGCAGTTAACACGGCTCTCACAGGCATGTGTGGAATGAGCTGTAAGGGTGGGATCTGTTGCCCCCCATCACATTCTGTGTCTGGAGGGGGGCGACAGCTGTGTTTGAGCTTTGAACTCTGGAGTGACCCATCACAGGTTCACTTCACCCACTCATGTACATACCAGCTAACCATGTTACAGGATTTATGACATGTGCCCGGACTCTCGGAGCTGTTTCGGCATCCCCCATTGCCATGGTAGTCCCTCCTCCTCCTGTTCTCCTCATAAGCAGGCCATTATTTTGGAGTCGGAACGCTGAGGTTGCGGAACAAAAAGGGTTAATAATAATTCATAAAACTACTATACAAATCTACAACTCCTATGTATTTATTTGTTTATTTATTTTTAAAACATTGTTCTCTTCTCATCTGCATTTCACTTCTGCTCTATCTATCTACAAATGGTTTGTGTTGTTCCTCATGTTAAAGTCACTTTGTCTCTGAATATTATGCTGAGATATAAGTTAAATCAATTACCAATTATCTTTTAAGGCCCTCACAAAAAATATAGGCTAATAAGTTGGAAAAGAGTATAGATGAGGATGAGGGGAATGAATGTGACGTCCTTCTATATACCGGATTTCTGTCACGCTAAATCATGTTCAGACATGCCGAGATCACCACACAGAATGCTGTTCACCTATACCTGCAACACGCTTTTTTATTGCAAGAGTGTTCCAGGGGAAGAACAGAGTTTTTGCATCGTCAAAAATCATTTCCATGTCCTTTTGCCCTGTTGATTAAGGCGTTGCTGGGTTTTCAGGTGCTTAATGATTGGCCAAGCATTCATGTGTCCTCTGACTATGTGCTTCCACTCTTATCACTATGGAAACACAAGAAAATGCAGAAAGCATTCAACAGAGGAATTTATGCAATAATTAATTAATAATTAAGGGAGTCTGGACACAACTGGACTTTTATTGAACATTTCAAACACATTTACTTCATGCTGCATCAAACCCAACCCAACCAAACCAAATAAAAGCCTGTCACAGCTAGGGTTGGGTCGATAGACGATGCCATCGTCCATCGCCGATGGCTGATAGACATCACGATGTTGAGCCGGCATCGGGATCCCCTCCCATTCCCCCCGCATCCCAATACCGTGTTCGGAAAGAAAATGACGTGTAGGCGGAACCCCTAAAGGGAATAAATACGAGATGGGAGGAAAATATATATATTTCAATATTTTTCCTTGCAGTTATATAATTGGTTAATTATACTACATATTTCGGCATAAGGGAGCCGCTATTATGCCTGGCATTGAAACTGGCATCGTGCTTTTGAACGCTTTTAGTTTCACTTTCACTTTCGAGATTCGCGATTGCAAGTACTCTGTTTATACTATTGAGCGGCAGTACTTGCCACACATTTGATATGTTTGTCAGTGGTACTGAGGATCTGCAAATCATTCGCCATCATCCTCAGTCATCTCTCCTTACTCTGTTTATGTGGTAAGTAAAATTTTATGTACTGTAATGTAACAGGCAACCGTTACACCGTGTCTACACCGGACGCGACAGTTGTTGTGTCTCGCCGTGCCGCATCAGCTAAAGTCTGTCTACACTGGACGCAACAAAGCGACCGTTGAAAATCATTTGAAATTTGTGTCAGCACGTCATAAATAGAATGCGGCAGCAGTTTACTGTCGGGAATGTGTCGTGTCACGCTGCATCCAGTGTAGACAGCATCACTGATTATAATGAGTTCTATAGACTGATCTATATATAATAAATCTCTATTATAGATCAGTGGTTCTATAGTTTTTTGTCGCGCCGCGCCGCTCACGTCTGGTGTAGAAACGGTGTTAGGAATCGTATTTTCACGCTTCGGGCACACCCCTCCCTCCGCTCGCCCCCGCCAATGTCATCATCCACCGTGATGTTTCACTGTAGACATCGTCCGATGCCAATTTTGTAGACATCGCCCAACCCTAGTCACAGCAACTATTTTTGCCAATAAGTAACCATCTAACAAACAAATTGTCCTCATCTAGAACTTCCTGCCTCTTGTGAGAAGCATGTTGCATCTCTTGTCAAGTTCCTAACATACGTGCAGTGCACACACACACACACACACACAGAGTCTGCTGAGATTTCTCTGCAGTCTGAAGTTCAGGTTCATTCACACTCCTGTGACCAGCCGCCCGTCTGACAGATGGAAGAAAAAGCATCTGAGCCCCATTTCAAAGAGCCCACATTTCCACCTCGCTACTCCGCTCAGATATTTCCACAGATGTGTTTTTGTTCTGCGTATCTATGAGGAGGCTTGCGTTGACAAAGACCCCTGACATGGCTGAAGTGCTTCTTTGTAGCAGAGAGACGTTGGGGTTGCATTGCATTGAGGGGTTGTGGAAGTTAGTATAGAAGGTGGGGGATGGTGTGTGTGTGTGTGTGTGTTGAAGGGGATACTGTGTTGTCAGAGCTGAGGAGCTTAAGCATATATTTAAGCATTAAGCCTTCGGCTTTCTTAAGGAAGACACATTTCCAGAGAGATTAGATGAAGAATGCCTGATTTTTATGTTAGGATGCTCCACTATGGATTGCTCTTATAGTTTTATACGAGTTGATGTGCATCACACATTGATTTTTTTCATTATATACAGTATTTACTCGCTTTACTAAACAGAACAGCCGTTCCCGTGAGAATGTGACATTGTGTTTTGGGAGTGGTAGAGATAGCAAAACGAACACAAATGAATGCCAGGTGAACTAAAATCGACCTGCTGAGTTTTAGCTTTCATCAGAGATGTTACAGGGAAATGTGCCGTAAACACAGTATCTGAAATAAATGTTTTTATCTAATTCCATGATTTATGAACTATCTTCAGAGAAGAATGATGAAGTTCTTATGTATCTGGTAATGTTTTCAGAAATGTTAGAAATGCAATTCATATAATGACTTTACATGACTTTACTTTATGATGAACATAATGACTTTAATTTATGATGAATAATTTTAATTTTTGTATTGAAAAAAAAAAATATATATATATACACACACACACACTGGTGATCCAGGATGATTAGAACTAAAATCGACCTGCTGAGTTTTAGCTTTCATCAGAGATGTTACAGGGAAATGTGCCGTAAACACAGTATTTGAAATAAATGTTTTTATCTAATTCCATGATTTATGAACTATCTTCAGAGAAGAATGATGAAGTTCTTATGTATCTGGTAATGTTTTCAGAAATGTTAGAAATGCAATTCATATAATGACTTTACATGACTTTACTTTATGATGAACATAATGACTTTAATTTATGATGAACATTTTAAATTTTTGTATTGAAAAAAAAAAATATATATACCTGTATATACACACACACACACACTGGTGATCCAGGATGATTAATGATCAATTTCAACATTACCTTAGGCATCGCATCATTTAATAGTCATAATGTCATTACTTCCTCCTTTCTTTCTCTCTGGGGCAGAATGACTGTGTGTTGATTGAGTCATGCTAATGGAGTGAGTTCAGGGAAAAGACTCCAATTATGTCCATGTCTTTGATTAAGTCACTGTGGGAGAACATCTGTGAACCTCAGTGACTTCATCAGTCCATCAGTCACCTAAAAACAGCATTGCTTTGGCATTAATATGAACTCACAGCCATAACTGATGCTTATTAATGCAGGGTCACTCCCATCAGACAGCCTGAGAGAGACAGAAGATTTCATCTGTTTTTGAGCTCGTATGTGATGACTTCATGTGAAAAGTTGCAGGATGTTCATTGGCTTCATTATAGTATAGAATAATAAAGCCGATGAACTTCCCGCAAGTGGAAGTTCATCAGCTTCATTATTCTATACTATAATATAAAACATTATTCATATGTGAACTTACTTTGAAATTCTTTTTATTCTTCCCAGCTTTTCCATGTTGCATATGTGCTCATCAAATTTGCCAACTCGCCCCGGCCGGACCTGTGGGTGCTGGAGCACTCCATTGACTTTGGGAAAACATACAAGCCATGGCAGTTCTTCGCCTGTGAGTATAACTGAAATGAGCATTTTATCATTGTACTTATGTGTTATGTACTGGCAACGACTTTGTGAAGAGTGTGTGGCCTTTAGGAATGGGAATGAAAGTGTGGGTTAAGTGAGAAAAGTCAGGTTTTGGCCAGTTCTCTCTGTTTTTTTCACACATATTGGGTTGTTTTGTTTGTCACTAAAGGCCATCGGTACTGTAGGTGGCAACACAATCCTGTCAACAATAACTACAGTCCTTGGCTGACATTTGGAGGTTTGGCTTTATCGCCATAATGAAACGTAATATTCCATCAGCTCACAATCCATCAAGCCCACAGCTGCCTCCATGACTCTGTACAAAACAAAGAAAGATGGAGAGAAGAGAGAACATTGTGTGACAGATTACTGTGTGACTTATACTAGGGCTGCACAATTATGACAAAAATCATAATTGTCGATTATTCCCTTGAAATATCACGATTATCATAAATTTACATTGAATGATGTTTATACCATTGTTTGATGCAACTGCATGCCGTATTTTTATATGAAAATAAACAAGCTGAAAACACTCTAACTGAAAAACGTTGTGCTTTTCTATAGTATTAAGCCTCAAATGTCAAATATACATCGGATTGGTTTCTTCTTTAAATTATAAAAAAGTAAAAATATGAATGGAATTATAATGTTATACTAAAACTACAATTAAAATAATGGCAAAAACCCTTAAGATAACATGTAGAAAGAAAAACTTTGTGTTCCCTTGAAATATCACGATTATCATAAATTTACATTGAATGATGTTTATACCATTGTTTGATGCAACTGCATGCCGTATTTTTATATGAAAATAAACAAGCTGAAAACACTCTAACTGAAAAACGTTGTGCTTTTCTATAGTATTAAGCCTCAAATGTCAAATATACATCGGATTGGTTTCTTCTTTAAATTATAAAAAAGTAAAAATATGAATGGAATTATAATGTTATACTAAAACTACAATTAAAATAATGGCAAAACCCCTTAAGATAACATGTAGAAAGAAAAACGCATCTTAAGCACGCAGAATAACATAAGTGGACTTTGAACGATTAATTGCCGCTTTGAACGATTACGTAGTTGTGGCATCCATAATTATAATCGCGATTAGAAATTCGATTAATTGTGCAGCCCTAACTTATACTTTATAAGTGACAGATTTTCGAGATAATATTCAGTCTAGAGTCAGCATTGAATTCATTATTAATTATTATTTATCAATTATTTATTTTGTCGGGGAAAAACTGGCATCATGACCAGATGTGCTATATTGTGAGTGTCACGGTTATGTTCAGTTTAGTTCAGTTTCTGTTTTGTCTGTTATGAATTCTCATCAGTTTCCATGGTTTCTGATTAGTTAATCTTTGTCCAGCTGTTCCTGTTTAGTTACCTCATTTACTATGTGTGTATATACGTATACTCCCTATTCTGTTCACTCCTTTGTCGGTTATTGTTTTGTGTAATGTGTTGTTCTACTCCTGCGTTCTCAGCAATGTCTATTTTGAAGTGTTAATCATTGTTTACATTCCTTATTCTGCAACTACTCGTGGCAGTGTGTAATATCCAGAATGAAATATAATATGGTAGAAAACACTTACACTTTATGTTGTTGATATTAATTTCATAATTTATATAAATTATAATTCTATTTATATATGTACTTATGTTATGTTTATATTAGGGATGCACCAATACCACTTTTTCCAGTACTCGCCCGATACCGATACTTTTATTTTTGGTACTTGCCAATACCGATATTTTATATGGCACTTATCACATGCTGTGTGGTATCGGCGCTTGGTATCGGGGAATTTTAACGAGTACAGGAGCTCAGTAGCGGGCCCGATACCGATACCAGTATCGGTGCATCCCTAGTTTATATTCATTTATTATTTTATATTAAATTATAGTTATATTATTTTATATTTATTAATAGTTATTAATAATAATTTGAAATACATTTATATTATGTTTTGCTTAAACATGTTTATTAAAAATTTTATTTTCTTTAGATAACATGTTTAAAAATCTTTATCAGTTACTATTATAGTACAAGCATCATAATATAAAATCACTTGTGTTTCCTCTCACTTTCACATTGATACATGGAATTGTAATTAAAGATATTAATAATCAAATCAAAGTCCATTAATATTTAAAGTTCACTAATTTACTTACTTAAAGTCGACATAAACCAGAAGCTGTGATCATATTTTTTTTTCTAATATGACCTATATCCAGGTGAAGCAGCTTCTTGGGGAAAAAAAAAAATGTATGGCAGGACTTTGTCCAGGAATTGATTTTTGGATCTCGTGTGATCGTTGCAAGGGAAGTTATTTTTTGATCAAACGTTTACATTTTCTCAACTGATTTGTTCATGCATCTGTTTTTGCTCCAGCCTCTAAGAGAGACTGTATCGAGCGGTTTGGCCAGAGAACTATCGAGAGGATCAACCGTGATGACGATATCATCTGCACAACTGAGTACTCACGGATTGTCCCTTTGGAGAATGGAGAGGTACAGACACAGACAAACTCTGTCCCAACACTGGCTCCTGCCCACTGACCTTTCTCTCCTGCTTATATCTCTGTCAGTGCACTTATATACTTATAGTACTTATACTTTAGCTATCATTGTGAAGTCTTTTTTTGATTGTTAAATCACTCTCACACACGTTCAGATTGTGGTGTCTCTGGTGAACGGACGTCCGGGCGCCATGAACTTCTCTTACTCTCCAGTTCTGAGGGAGTTCACCAAGGCCACCAACATCCGCCTGCGCTTCCTGCACACCAACACGCTGCTGGGTCACCTGATGGGCAAAGCTCTGAGAGACCCCACGGTCACACGAAGAGTAAGATTCAATTTTTTGAATGGACAGAAATTATAAATGAAACGCTATCACATTCATGTTTAAAATGTTGTATAAATTATTCCAACTATAATATATTCTCTGCATTTTTTCTTCAGTATTACTACAGTATTAAAGACATCAGTATTGGAGGGAGATGTGTGTGTAATGGCCATGCTGAGGCCTGTAATGCCCAAGACCCCAATGACCCATACAAGTAAGTGACTTTTACAAATATTTAGATTTTATTTATGGGCTTTAAATATCACAAGTCCGAACTTGCACCATAGCATCATCAAACAGAGTGTCAGAGCATGTGAACATCCTGCCAGTGTGCCACAAACTTCAAGAAGCTTTACAATTATTCACTTTCCTGTACTCATACTTGCACTACTACAGTACAGTACAGTGCATGGGACAGTACATTTTATTTTATTTATTTATTTTGTATTTTTTGAAAGATGTTAATACTTTTATGAAACGGGGATGTATTCAATTGTTCAAAAGTGACTAAAGACATTTATAATGTTACAAAACATTTCAAATAAATTCTGTTCTCTGAAAATTTCTGAAAATTGAGTCCCTTTAAAGAATCCTGAAAAGCAATTTTTGTTTTCAACATAAATAATAATAAGAAGATCAAGATAATAAGAAATGTTTCTTGAGCAGCAAATCAGCATATTAGAGTGATTTCTGAAGGATCATGTGACACTGAAGACTGGAGTAATGATGCTGAAATTCAGTTTTGCATCACAGGAATCAATTAGACTTTAAAATATATTTAAAATATTTTATTTTGTACAGCACATTGGTCAATGGTAGTTGTTTTTAATAGTGCTTTATAAATACATTTTTTAAATTGTATTATTATTTCACAATATTACAGTTTTTACGGTTTCTGATCAAATAAATGCAGCCTTGTTGAACATGAGCTTTACAATTATTCACTTTCCTGTACTCATACTTGCACTACTACAGTACAGTACAGTGCATGGGACAGTACATTTTATTTTATTTATTTATTTTGTATTTTTTGAAAGATGTTAATACTTTTATGAAACGGGGATGTATTCAATTGTTCAAAAGTGACTAAAGACATTTATAATGTTACAAAACATTTCAAATAAATTCTGTTCTCTGAAAATTTCTGAAAATTGAGTCCCTTTAAAGAATCCTGAAAAGCAATTTTTGTTTTCAACATAAATAATAATAAGAAGATCAAGATAATAAGAAATGTTTCTTGAGCAGCAAATCAGCATATTAGAGTGATTTCTGAAGGATCATGTGACACTGAAGACTGGAGTAATGATGCTGAAATTCAGTTTTGCATCACAGGAATCAATTAGACTTTAAAATATATTTAAAATATTTTATTTTGTACAGCACATTGGTCAATGGTAGTTGTTTTTAATAGTGCTTTATAAATACATTTTTTAAATTGTATTATTATTTCACAATATTATTATTATGTTTTTACGGTTTCTGATCAAATAAATGCAGCCTTGTTGAACATGAGAGACTTTACAAAAAATCTGACCCTCCCCAAACTTTTGAACAGTAGTGTAGTCAATCAGAAGTATTTTGTCCTGTAGTTGCCACACAATTCCATTTAGAATGTGTTTTCTTGCCTTATGCATGGAACATATGTAATTTAAAACTATAAAAGGTAAGATGCAAGTATACTTTCATCATCAATATGCATATGTTGTTGCTACACTGTCGCCAATATTCAAATATTTCCCAGATTTATCCATACACCTTCATATTTGCATGACTACTAGCGGATGGCCATTTGTTTCTGTAAATGTGCTTGTGTGCCAAAGAAGAAGGCTGAAATCATTCTCATTCATAATCTGCTCTTTCCTGTAGCCAGAGGGTGTTAAAATTACCCTTAGTTTCCACCCGCACAGCAGACCACTAGCACATGCACATACATGCTGCACTGACACTCTGCTCTGAGGAGTCTTCACTTGCCTGATTCTCAACTTTTTTTGCACATGTTTTCACCCTACAATAATATTTTCCCTCAAGCACAATGTTTTGACAAGAGCTAATACGTAATGCAGAGTTTTAGGAAATAGCCACAGGGCCTCTAATACCACAAAGCAACCAGTGCTAGATCAGGTCGTTAGGATATTTCCACTAAGGTTTTTAGCTGGAAGGCTCATAGTCAGGGCATCTCGCTTCCACTAGGCGCGTGTCTCAGGACAGTGAGTGATGGTGGCTGGGGAGTGACATTTTTCAGTTCTGAGGCCCTGCAGGCGTCTGGATTTACTAGCTTGTCAAAAGATAGCCATGTATCATGAGACAGCACACTGTGAACTGTCTCTCTGTTCTTAACCTGCTAATTGTCCAATGCCTTGGATCAGTTCACACTTTCAATGGGCTAAACATCTAGGAAAGGTTTTATTCACGCAAGTCATTGTAAAACCTGTTGTAGAAGTTTTTGTTGAACGTATGCAGTGGCTGCATTTATTTTGCTGCTTTGATCATGTTCCAGAATTGAAAGCGTAATAAAATATCTTACAAGCATTCAAAGCGAATATGTGGTCCTTTAGTGCAGCAGACCTTTGGACATAAAGCAGATCAGTCTGTTTATGTAATATTTCAGGAATCTTGAGAGATTTTCCTGGCTCTTTGTATGTTGTAATCAAGATATATCCGCCGGTCATAGTTTTTGTCCCTGCTGATAAATAGTGTGTGTATTCGGTCATTCCAGAGATTCCTGCAGCGCTCAGTGTGAGCAAACAGGAATATAAACCACCTGGAAGGTGTCAGATGTGTCAGTTTGAAAAAAAGAAACTCTCTCCTGTGTGGGAATTATCACAACCCAGAGGGTTAATACAGATCATAGCAACAAGAAACAGATGCTAACATTGCGTTTGGAGAGGATGGAGAGTTTTCATAACCTTCATGGATCTCTGTTAAATCTGCTGTTCTTTGTGATTTCCTTTGTATAGGAGATATAGTGTGTGTGTGTGTGTGTGTGTAACCGATATTGTGGAGTTTTACTGATATACATGCAATGGGGATATAGGAGACCAGATGTTTCCCCCTGAGACTGTCACACCTGTATATTTCAACATACAACATACATCTTTTCTAGGTGTGGGCAATTTAATTGTGTGTCTCTGTGGTGACTGTTTTATTGTACAAAGGGTGGAGTTAAGGAGCTTAGTGGTTTGCAATTAAATAGCCTACTGCATATTGCACCATATACACTGAAACACTGAATTTTATTTTTTTTTAAATAGTATGTGAACTGATAGACATTATACAATGGTAAACATTTTTAAAAGTAGTGTTAATAACGAAGTATTCAGTTAAAAAGACAATAACTATATCCACTATAAGGTTGTCACCTGTTTAATTCTGTGAGTGACATGTAGTCATCTCAGACTTAAAAAAAAACTATTCTGAATATCATGGTTTCCATAAGCATATCAAGCAGCAGAACTGTTTTTAACATTGATACTAATAAGAAATGTTTCCTGAGCAGCAAATCAGTATATCCGAATGATTTCTGAAGGATCATGTGACACTGAAGACTGGAGTAAGGAGGCTGAAAATTCAGCTTTGCATCAAAGAAATAAATTGAATTTTAAAATATATTCAAATAGTAAACAGTTATTTTTAATTGTAATAATATTTCACAATTTACTGTATTTTTGATCAAATAAATGCAGTTTTGGTGAGCAAGAGACTTTTCGCGATAAATGCTGACTGAATACAGACAGTTAGTGAAGGGTGGAGGGTTTTGACTGACAGAGCTAAATGAGGATGACCCAGAGAATGAGTCAGACGCAGAAGATCAGAAGGCAATCGCTAAAGCGCGCTCCACCTAAGCCTCCCAGGTGCACCTGTTTGCCCCACAGATTCCAGGAGTTAAACTGATGTCAGTGTTGAGTTGATTTATGGGGAGATTTATATGGGTAGAGACATAACTTCTTCCATGTCTTAAGCTGAACTTGGAGCTTAAGACGTTCAGGCATGTGTGTTAAAGTCTTAGAGGAGATCTAGAGGGCAGCGGAGGGTTAATAGACTGTGGATGGGGTTGGTTAGTATGGTTGGCTGTAGCTCATTTGAAGTGAGGCTCTGGAACACTTGCTCTGACTGTGGCTGGGTGTTAATGAAGGATTAAGCTGCCGCTCCTTCCATATGTGTGCACTCAGTAGTACTCAAATGAGTGAATGTGAAAAGTCTGCGTGTTGTATATGTTTATGTGCAGGACTGGATGGAACATTGTAATTTAATTGTGTGTCTCTGTGGTGACTGTTTTATTGTACAAAGGGTGGAGTTAAGGAGCTTAGTGGTTTGCAATTAAATAGCCTACTGCATATTGCACCATATACACTGAAACACTGAATTTTATTTTTTTTTAAATAGTATGTGAACTGATAGACATTATACAATGGTAAACATTTTTAAAAGTAGTGTTAATAACGAAGTATTCAGTTAAAAAGACAATAACTATATCCACTATAAGGTTGTCACCTGTTTAATTCTGTGAGTGACATGTAGTCATCTCAGACTTAAAAAAAAACTATTCTGAATATCATGGTTTCCATAAGCATATCAAGCAGCAGAACTGTTTTTAACATTGATACTAATAAGAAATGTTTCCTGAGCAGCAAATCAGTATATCCGAATGATTTCTGAAGGATCATGTGACACTGAAGACTGGAGTAAGGAGGCTGAAAATTCAGCTTTGCATCAAAGAAATAAATTGAATTTTAAAATATATTCAAATAGTAAACAGTTATTTTTAATTGTAATAATATTTCACAATTTACTGTATTTTTGATCAAATAAATGCAGTTTTGGTGAGCAAGAGACTTTTCGCGATAAATGCTGACTGAATACAGACAGTTAGTGAAGGGTGGAGGGTTTTGACTGACAGAGCTAAATGAGGATGACCCAGAGAATGAGTCAGACGCAGAAGATCAGAAGGCAATCGCTAAAGCGCGCTCCACCTAAGCCTCCCAGGTGCACCTGTTTGCCCCACAGATTCCAGGAGTTAAACTGATGTCAGTGTTGAGTTGATTTATGGGGAGATTTATATGGGTAGAGACATAACTTCTTCCATGTCTTAAGCTGAACTTGGAGCTTAAGACGTTCAGGCATGTGTGTTAAAGTCTTAGAGGAGATCTAGAGGGCAGCGGAGGGTTAATAGACTGTGGATGGGGTTGGTTAGTATGGTTGGCTGTAGCTCATTTGAAGTGAGGCTCTGGAACACTTGCTCTGACTGTGGCTGGGTGTTAATGAAGGATTAAGCTGCCGCTCCTTCCATATGTGTGCACTCAGTAGTACTCAAATGAGTGAATGTGAAAAGTCTGCGTGTTGTATATGTTTATGTGCAGGACTGGATGGAACATTGTAGAAACTGATGAGAGTGAACTTGTCAGAAGCAGTGCTGTCAAACGATTAATCGAGATTAATCGCATACAAAATAAAAGTTTTTGTTTGCATAATATATGTGTGTGTACTGTGTATATTTATTATATATATATAAACACAAACACATATTGAAAATATTTACATGTTTATATTTATAGTCATATCATTTATATTCTAAATAAACATATTTAATATATAAACATAACATATTTTTCTGAAATATATACTGTTTGAGTGTGTATTTATTCATATATACATAATAAATATACACAGTACACACACATACTATGTAAACAAAAACTTTTATTTTGGATGCGATTGATCACGATTAATCATTTGACAGCACTAGTCAGAAGTTTTATTTTATGATCTTGTAATACATTTTTAAAACTTCTTATGGATGTTACGCAAAGGCCCGTTCTCACTGAGATGACTGTTCAGTGCGAAAGTTCAGTAACACTTTGCAATAAGGTTCAGTAGTTAACATTAGTTACTAGTACTACTTCAGTTAACATGAACTAAGCATGAACAGTATTTATTAATCTTAGTTCATGTTAATTTCAACATTTACTAATGCATTATTAAAATCAAAAGTTGTGCTAGTTAACATTAATTAATGCACTGTGAATTAACATGAACTAACAATAAACGACTATATTTTTCATTAACTACCATTAACAAAGATGAATAAATACTGTAATAAATGTATTGTTCGTTGTTTGTTCATGTTAGTTAATATGTTAGCTAACATTACCCTTATTGTAAAGTGTACAATTGTATGTAAACATAAAAAAAAATTCACCTGCAGTCAATGCAACCAATTATTGCTCTCTTTTTCATTGCACTGCAAAGAAAACTGGCCAACCAATTAGAATTGCGTTTTGGCCACATGCCACTGCTGTTACATGAAACCATGACTTAGTGGTGCTCACAAACAGACTATTTTGCTGAGCGATGGTGAATAGCAAAGGACGAATATGACTCTTATTAATCTTGTAATTCGTGGTGTTTTATGAACATCTTAGCAATTACAAAAATGTAAAAGGCCATAAAAACACCAACTGTAACATTTCTGTTCCAGCTGTGGCATTTGTTCAATCCGATCCGAGAAAATTTAACTATTTTATGATTTGATATTGAATTTTTATCATTTGATTCATACAAACGTGTAAAAAAAATTTGCAAAAATAAGCAGATTGTATGAATTATCCACCATGGATTTGTTCAAGGTATGTTGAATATAGAGATTTATAGGATATTTGGATGTATTATTTTGATTCATGGTTCATTATTAGAAATCTATAAATGCTTTTTTATTTTTATTCGATGCTCATTATTGATGATTATCATTTCAGTATGGCGTATGTAACATGTGTAGCAGTTCTTTGCTGTCTGCTGTGTAGCTTTTTGATGATACGTGTGTAAATGCAGCCACCAATGAGCAGACCGCTGAGTCCCAGTTAATTCGATTAGCTGTTCAGATGATGGAGGAAAATTGAGCAAGCGGGAAGAATTTAACCCTTTCAGACTCTCAGGTTTTAAAGACTCTCTCGATCTCCCTAATTCACCCTTTTCCTGGAAGCAGCAAGGTCAGTGAGAAGTTTGGACACTTGAATAAAAGCTCTTGCGTGGCTCATTTGAGGCCCATAGACATTAAGTACTTTAGTATTTGCATATAGTGGCCCCTCAAGAATGAGACAGAAAGAGGACAAGAGTGATTCTCATGAAACTAACCTTCAAACATGGCAGTGGGAAATTCTGTTCTGAAACATGAACAAAATAAATATACATAATATATACATATGTACTAATATACACATTTTCTTCACATAAATATAACAAAATAATTAGTTTTATTTGAAAATTACTCAAATAGCATATAAAAGCAATATATAAATAGCATGCAAAATAGCATCAAAAGCATATAGCAAGTTTTAGGTTTTGAGGTATAAACTTGAATGATTTGGTCATTAACCCGTGATTTGTCTTTTATGTCAGGCTTCAGTGTGACTGCCAGCACAACACTTGCGGGCCATCATGTGATCGCTGTTGCCCCGGCTTCAACCAGTTTCCATGGAAACCAGCCACGACTTACAGTGCCAATGAATGTGAACGTGAGTTTTCCTCTCTCTGCATCCAGTGAGCCAACAAAACAAAGATATAGTACCTGCCGGGCCCCTCCTTGACACATTGTTCACAAAACATGATTTCTCTCCTGTGGGAGATTCTTTCTTTCTTCCTTTCTTGATGGCAGAACAGCATTTTCTTTATTCTTTCTAACAGTGCTCTTATGTATTAATAGACATGACATTTATGTATTGTGTATTTATGTATTAATAGACATGACATGTATTCACTAAGTATGAGTGTGACTTTCAGAAATGCTCAGAATCTTAGTGGCATGTGGCGCCATGCTGGATTTCCGATCAGCGAGAGAGAGTGGGTAGAGATACGTCCGGTTTTCCTAAACGCCAGTGCAGAGAGCCGGAGAAACCCCAATCTTAACTTTTATATGTTTACAGGATTTATAATATCACTTAAAATACAACTAAGATCTACTTTGCTATCATTACTATACTATATATGTTAATTGAGCCAGTGGCGTTTAAAACTTGTGTAATGAAATACACGAATCCATACTGTTCGCGAAATGAAAGTTGCCTTGAATTCATGGTGCGTACACATACACAATGTCTTTTTCCCTTAGCAATTAATTGTACAAATGATCATAAATACACAAACATGCTAAATAACTAAACACATTTTAAAATATAAAACATTTGAAAACAATCAAAACATAACTTTAGACAATATTAGTCTTTAAAGGGGTCATATGATGCGATTTCAAATTTTCCTTTCTCTTTGGAGTGTTACAAGCTCTTGGCGCATAAAGAAGATCTGTAAAGTTGCAAAGACTAAAGTCTCAAATCCAAAGAGATATTCTTTATAAAAGTTAGGAGTCAACCACGCCTACCTAAAACGGCTCGTTCTAACACGCCCCCACATATCTACATCACTATGTGGGAAGATTTGCATAACACCGCCCAAATGTTCACGCAAAGAAAGAAGGCGTAACTTTTATTCTCACTGTAGTATTATTGTTGCCACCGCCGCCATGTCGTGAAGGCGCTTTGTTACATTGTGAAAGCGAAACTACTTTGTTTGGCCTTCCAAAAGAGGACGATATCCACTTCCTCATTCCTGGAGCTGATCCGTGCTGGTTGCTGAGGAAAAACATAAACTTCGTGCTTCGGACGAAGCAGAGTATGCAACAAATGCCTCGTTTGTAATGGGTTTTATTGGTTTTGTCTCGTCGCGCCGGACACAAGGAAACCATAGACTGTATGATGGAAACACAGTATGGTAAGGGGCGTAACATTTCCGTCACACGCTTGAGGTATTCGGCCAATCACAACACACTAGATAGATGGCCAATCAGAGCACACCTCGCTTTTCAGACCGATAAGCTTTGTAAAAATCGACGCGTTTCAGAAAGGCGGGGCATAGAGGAGAAACAATAATGTACAGTATGTGGAAAATAATGTGTTTTTTTAACCTTAAACCACATAAACACATTGCATTACACCAAATACACAAAATACTGTTCTTTTTAGCAACGTCATATGACCCCTTTAAAACAAGTAAACCTATCTTGACCTATCAATATCAATAAATATATTATTTCTCGAAAATGTAAAAATATACTGTATGCTCTGCTTATAGACACCAGACAGATAATTATGATTCATGCAACTGATGCCTATAAACTCATTTGCACAAAACAGAGAATATTAATAAAAACACACAGGGAAATACAAACACGAATCTTTTAATAAATGCAAACCTAGTCCATGATCTCTGTCTTGTCTGGTGATCCTTTCACATACTTAATCACACAAGTTTCTCTACCTACATTCTCCAGTTTTTATCATTTCAACTTGTGACATTCTAACAAATGTAAAAGACTATGTGACTGTCATTGTACTCATATTCCACATTGTTGTGGTATTATATATTTTTCTTGAATTTCTAGTGAACTGTCCAGGGGCATTTTAACTCTATTGGCAAGTGGATAAAGAAAAGCATTTAGCAAAAGTAAAACAGTAAAACAACTGACAAATGCTTTTTTTGAAACTTCAAAAATAAAAAAGTATTATTTATTATTTTATTGTCTTATTTAACTACATTTTAAAACATGAATTAAAATGTCTATTTTTGTCAAATCAAAAACATAATGTATTAATTTATTGTTACTTAACTACATTTTTAAAAACAATTCAGTCTTGATTTGTCTATTTAAAAAGTGATTAATATACGTTTTAATTGAAAAGTTGGCTTTCAAAATTTATATAACTATGTGTGTGTTATTTTATTGTGGTATTTACCTACATTTAAAAACATTTAAAATTTGTCTAAAAGTGTGTGTGTGTGTGTGTGTGTTTGTGTGTATTTTATTTGATAAATATTTTAGTTTGAATTATTACACTGATCATTTATTCTATTTTTTTAAGGAGCAATCCTAGTCCTCCAAGTAAAACTGGCTACCTGATACCTTTATAAATGTAAATACATATTAGCCTTTTAGACCGCAGATTGGTTTTGTTGTGTGAGGATGTTTTGGTTGATATTCTTGATTATGCGATGATATTTATAGGTTCAGTTTAGGATCAGTGTAGTCTCTGCTTTAGTAAGACATCAGAGTCAGTGTGAATAAGAGAGGCTGGCAGTCTATGTGAACCGGTCCAGCCCGCTGTGAGCTCATACAGATGCTAGTTCAGTCTGCCTTCTCTCACACACTGTAAAAATAGTCCCTCAATGCTTTTAAGAGACTCACTCTCTGGGTGTTTTTCTCTGTATTGGGAGCCATTGTTGGATATCCGCTGTTTTTTTAGCTAATCTAATCTCTGAATTCCCAAATATATAACCACTCCTTTGTGTGGAGAGAGACCTCAGTGAGGTTTACGGCACATCTGTGAGCAGAGTTGGCTTGAGAGACTGTCCCATCTGACAGAACTGTTTAATCTCAAGTCGGGTCACCGTGTCCTCACCCTGCCGTCAGTGGACTGGACCCTAACAAAGCACAGCCATTCCACACCGCCTGTCCTGTCAAAGACTCCTCTGTGAGACAGGAAAAACACATGATCAGTAGTTTTGAGAGCTTTTTATAGCCTGCTGGTATTCATTTTTTAAATAGTGAATTTGTCCTACACTCTTAAAAAAAAAAGGTGCTTCACGATGCCATAGAAGAACCTTTTTGTCTAAATGGTTCCATAAAGAACCTTCAACATCTGAAGAACCTTTCTGTTTCACAAAAGGTTCTTTGTGGCGAAAGAAGGTTCTTCAGATTATAAAAAGCTAAGAAAGAGATGGTTCTTTAAAGAACCTTTGACTGAATGGTTCTTTGTGGAACCAAAAATGGTTCTTCTATGGCATCGCTTGAAGAACCTTTTGAAGCACTTTTATTTTTAAGAGTGTAATATTGTGAGATTTCGCCAATTACAGCTGATTCAATTGTTAACATTTTGTCTATGGATATTAGTGATGGACTTAAATAAAAATTCATAGCCGCAATCAAAATTCTGAAACTGAAATTAGCCTTACTTTGAAGTAATTACCAATTATTTTAATGTAAATAAATAAATCTTTCTAAAACTTTTTTTGGTAACTGTATTCATCAACCAATATGAAGAAGAGTGTCAAATCTGCATTTTTTTCGTTAGTATTGTTTATCATCTGCTAGCCTAAATCTAATACCAAATTACCAATTTTATTGTAGTGATAATAACTGTAAAAACGAATGTTTTGGTCACCATGGTACGTTTGTGTAAGTGTATGCACAATTATTTTATTTTGTCAATATGTTTTAACTTGTATTTCCAGCTACGATCTCTCGTGTTCTCCTTGCTAATGATTCTTTTCTCTTTCTTTTTCCCTTCTCTGCTGTCATTCCTCTCGGGACAGTCTGAACTCTTCAGGTGGACACTGATGTGTGTGTGTGTCTCTGAGTATTTTATATCTGTCCTACTTGTATATTGTACATCTCTGCACTGACAGATGAGTTATTAACCTCAGCGTGTTTCATCTTCAGGCTGATTATATAGTGGCGTAACTGTGTTGTGTGTGTGTTTGTAGCATGTAACTGCCACAGACACTCATCAGAGTGCTACTATGATCCAGAGATCGACCAGCGGAGAGCCAGTCTCAACATGCAGGGACAACACAGGGGCGGAGGAGTGTGCATTGAATGCCAGGTGGGCTCAGCTGTACAAACACACTAATAACACGAAAGGGGTACAGATACATTGACTGTGGCTCAAAACCTACCTAGACAGCATGGGCAACATAAATGCATACAACATTTGTGGGCGACCGACAAATACACACTCACTAGGTTTGGAAACAGCTGTTGATGTTTTTGCAAGTACATCCTATGATTTTTATGCTTTCACAGCATCACACCACAGGCTTCAACTGTGAGCGCTGCATTCCTGGGTACTACAGATCACCTGATCATCCTCTGGAGTCCCCATTCGCCTGTTCAAGTGAGTCTCCACTCATACACACTTAACACAGTATTGTTTTAGTATTATTTATATAATGTTATAATATATATTATTTTTTATTAACTTTTATTTATTTATTTTTTACATTTTAGTTTATGTAATTATGTTCATTTATTTTTTTGTAATTTATTTATATATTTTTTTTGTCATTTTAGTATTTGGTTTGTAACTTATTAAAGTTGTTTCATTTCTGAAATGTTGCCAAAACAATATTTATTACAATATTAATGTTTGTTTACATTTTTCATCTACTTCCATTAATGAAAATTAATTTTTTTATCATTTTAGTTTTAGCTAATAACAACATTTCTGGTCATACATAACTATGAATGAAAATTGAACTGTACTGCATGCATGCATGCATACTGATACTGATAAAGCATGTTCCTTTCTTTTGCTTGTTTTTCCATGATTCTCTCATGTGTTTTGCAGAGTGTCAGTGTGAGTCTGAGTTCACTGATGGCACATGTGAGGATCTGACCGGACGCTGTTACTGTAAACCCAGTTACACCGGCGAGAACTGTGACACGTGTGCGGAGGGCTACAAAGGCTTCCCTGAATGCTACCGTAAGTCTCCGTGTATCTTTAAAGCTTTCATGAAGGTTTCAGGCAGTATATTTCAGCTGAATTCATCCAGCGTGGAAAATTGTCTCTAAACAGCTATCAAACAAGTAATTAGTATATATGTGTAAAGAAATTCTCCTTGTTAATTATACAGTTTGTTTGCTTGTGTTTATTACTGTCAGAGGGGTACATAAGTGGAGAGGCCAGACCTGCAGGGGAAATCATCAGTAAGACATTGATTTGATTCAGTTTGACTCATCCTGATTCAAATTTTTTTGATTCAACCTGATTTCATTCTAATTCTTTTTCATTGATTTCTCATACATTTTATGTTACGTTCTTGTGTTGTGCAGATTGCGAGTGCAGTGCTGCAGGTACAGAAGGGAACTCCTGCAGGCCAGACCCTCGCACCAATACATGTGTGTGTAAACCTGAATTCACTGGAGAACACTGTGACACCTGCGCTCCTGGTCACTTCGGCCTCGGTCACTCTTTCTGCAGTTTACATCATTACACCAGTAGGTGGCGTCAAGCGACTATCTGTATGAAGGAGTCATTTGAATCGTTCTCTCAACCAAATAGATTTGTACAAAAACACTGATTCATTCAGGAACTAATTCATTCGAAAACACTGATTTATTCTGAAACAAAACAAGTGACTGTCTTTATGAGTGAGTCAATTGAATCATTCTCTCAACCAAATAGATTTGTTTCATTCGGGAACAAAAAAAGTGACTTTCTTTATAAGTGAGTCATTGAATCTTTCACTCATCCAAATTGATTTAAAAAAAACTCTCAATCATTCAGGAACAAACAAGAGAATGTCTTTATAAGTCACTGAATTTTTTACTCAACTGGGTATTCATGCGAGCAGTGTGCGCTCGCTTACTTCAACTACCCACTGTGCCAATGTGAGTGCTTACCAACTCTAATCTCACTAAACTTCAAAATCCCCCATGATTACTGCCAAACTGTGAACTTTACACTACAGCCACAATAACTGTTTCCTGCTCTTTTACTGCTCTGTTTAAGGTCAGTATGAATTTATAATCGACCCTATTTACTTTCTTAACACACACTCTTGGTCTTATTGTTTGATTCATCAGTGCCTCTTCATTTCGGTCACTCTTTCTGCAGTTTACATCATTACACCAGTAGGTGGCGTCAAGCGACTATCTGTATGAAGGAGTAATTTGAATCGTTCTCTCAACCAAATAGATTTGTACAAAAACACTGATTCATTCAAGAACTAATTCATTCGAAAACACTGATTTATTCTGAAACAAAACAAGTGACTGTCTTTATGAGTGAGTCAATTGAATCATTCTCTCAACCAAATAGATTTGTTTCATTCAGGAACAAAAAAAGTGACTTTCTTTATAAGTGAGTCATTGAATCTTTCACTCATCCAAATTGATTAAAAAAAACTCTCAATCATTCAGGAACAAACAAGAGAATGTCTTTATAAGTCACTGAATTTTTTACTCAACCATTATATACTGCACATATGTTTAATATTTTGTGAATGTATCAAAAGATTATGTGAAACAACAGTATCAGCAGTCAGAGATAAGATTTTGTTTTTTGAAAAAAAATAATACTTATATTCAGCAAGGATGCATTGCATTGATCAAAAGTGACAGTAAATGCGTTTATAATGTTACAAAATATTTCTTTTTCTTTTTAACTTTTTATCAAAGAGTCCTGAAAAAGGTTTCCACAAAAATATTAAGCAGCACAACTGTTTTCAACATTGATAATAATAAGAAATATTTCCTGAGCAGCATATCATCATATTAGAATTATTTCTGAAGTTTGTCATCACAGGAATAAATTATATTTTAAATTATTTTTCAAACATTACTTTAAATTGTAAAAATATTTCACAGTATTACTGTTTTTACTTTATTTAAAAAAAAATGTACCCCAAACTTTTGAAAGGTAGTGTATGTGTGATAGACACGACAAAAACATTTGCATATTGTACTGTTCAGAGTGTACACTGCTGTCCAAGTACATTGATATTTTTAAATTACCGCTGTAAATGAGGATCTTGGACACAAATATTAATTCCTATTCCAGACTCTCAGTGCTTGTTTTGTGTTCCTCAGGGCTCCTGCGAGTGTCAGCCTCATGTAGAGGGGGAGGCCTGTGATCGCTGTAAGCCTCTCTACTGGAATCTTTCTCCTGATACAGACTATGGATGCTCAAGTAAGAGAAAAGTTTGGACACACAGTGCAAAATGACTGTAATTTTCAAATCTGTAGCTTGTTAGTTAAATTGTATATAAAATAAAACAGATTATTTATCTCTGCTAATGTATATTATGATTGATTTTGCAGGCTGTGACTGTAATACATTAGGAACTATGAGTGAGGTTGCAGAGTGCACGCAGGTATGGAAATATCAATAATAACTCCATCTTACAACTGCAATTCAAGAGTGTAGTAAACAAACCTCCATCTGTGTGTAAATCAGAGCACCGGCCAGTGTTACTGTAAACCTAACGTGTGCAGCGGCACATGTAATGTGTGCAAGGATGGATACTTCAGCCTTCAGAAGAACAACTACTTTGGGTGCCAAGGTACAAAATCAGTTCCAAGCAGACATTTTTAAATACTGAAATGAAGAGATGGGTTAAACTCTCGCCCCTGTGTCATGTAGGCTGCCAGTGTGACATTGGAGGCTCTGTTGGGCAGGTGTGTGATGAGAGGCACGGGCGGTGTCGATGCAGATCCAATGTGGAGGGACCCAAATGCAACCAGTGAGTGACTGGGAAAAGCACACACAGATATAGCAGACAGTGTGCAGTAATCACTTTTATGTGTGGTTGGCTGCATTGACTCTGATGTGTTTGTTTAGACCCCGGCCAGATCATTACTTCCCAGACCTGCACCATATGAAGTTTGAGGTGGAGGAAGGCACCACTATGGATGGACGTCCAGTGAGGTTTGGTTACAATCCTCTGGAGTTTGAGAGCTTCAGCTGGAGGGGATATGCCCAGATGTCCCCCATGCAGGTACACAAACACACACTTATGTTTGCACCTTGAAATCAATTTATTATATTACTGAATTGTAAATAATAGTAACAAATTGTTATAATAATAATAATATAGTAATGTTAATAAAAACTACAATAACAAGTACAAGAGTGATAATAATTAATAATACTATTAGTAATAATCTAAAATAATAATTATTTATTTTAATTATAAGAACAACACTATTAAATGGTAAATAATAATAAAAAATATTATTGTTGTTGTTGTTGTTTTGTAATTATCATTAGTATTATTTATAAAACAACAACATATTGAATGGTTAATAATAATACAAAACTGCTATAATACTGATACAATCTTATATATTGATAATAAAATTATATAAACAACAGTAATAATTATAATTCTTATTAATATTGTTAATATTTGCAATAATAATAAATCTATTACAACAACAGCTATAACAATAATAAGAAGAAACGGAGCAATTCCAATAAGGTCCTCGCACTGTAGTGCTCGGGCCCTAATTATTATCATCATCATCATAATCATCATTATTATTATTATATTAGTACATATTATTAGATATTACATATTATATATTGTAGCAATTTGAGTATTTACTTTTTTGTAAAGCACTTTTTTCTTGTTGGATATCCTGTTTCACTCAGATATATGTCACTTTACAGAAGTAAAATTTGTTATTAATGCTGTTTCATGTTAAAGATACTACGAAAATAATGATGTTAATTATAATAGAACTGAATATTATGAATAACTGTGAATATAATGAAGATTACTTATTTTAACTTTCAAATTAATTTATTACAAATTTGTATTGTCATTATTATCATTTTGTAGATATTCAAGATGTTTAAGTTGATGCATGTGTGTAAAATTAGACTGAGATGTAGCGTTGTGTGATGTGTGATTGAAATACACTGTGTCTTTGGCTTGGCTGAGGGCTTCGATCACGGCTTTTGATTGGTGCTGCTTGCGTACATTGGCTGCTGTGTTGGGCTGTAGTGCTGGTTGGTGGTGGCTTTGAGCAATGGCTTTGCATTTGTCTCTCTTTCTGTGTCTCTGTTGTGGGCTGCTCTCTTGCTCTCTAGCCTCGGGTTCTGGTTGAGGTGGTGGTTGGCTCTCCAGACCTGTTTCATGTGGTCTTGCACTATATGAACCGTGGGGGCGTGGACGTGAGGGGGCGGGTCTCTGTGATCGAGGATGGCAGACACTTCCTGTGTGAGAATTGTAAGTTTTTCACCCTTTTGTTTTAATGATCTGCTTTTCTCCATCTTTCTACCTTCCACACTTAAATCCTTTGCTCTCTGATCTGGTGACTTCCTGCTCTTTTCATAAACCCTCCCATTTGCCCCCATGTACAAGACACACTCTCACCGCAACCTGCATCTCAGATCACACCCATCTTGATCAGAAAGCCACAGTGCAGGTCTTTAACACAGACCATGTTATGTGCTGTACACCCTCCCCTCCTCTTCTCCCTGTCTTCCTTGTCCTCCATCTCAGAATACGGTTAAAATGATGGTGCACGTGCGTGAAGCAGACGTGTATCTCACGCGCTTCATCCTCAGATATGTAAACACGAGGTTGGCTGTGTCGAACGGTAAAATCACAGCCTATCAGAACAGCAGAAGAGGTACGCTTGATGGTTCGATGTGCAGGACTTTCATTCTTTCGGTGAACCCAAAGGAGAGCTCATTGGTCATTTCATTGAGCTTTGCCATTTTCATTGAGACTTATGAATTTTACTTTATTTTATTATTTACTTATTTTATTTTATTTGACAGAATAATAGAGAATAACAATGCTGCTCTATTTTTTATTTTAGCTAATAGCTAATTTGGTGCATGTGTCGCTGATTAAGCTTTTACTAAGAATCTAAGAAATTTATAACACATAAATATTATACACAAATGTAATAAATACACACTCAGCAAATAACCAATTGTGTAAACCCTAAACAAGCTATTACACAAAAGAAATAACTTTTTTATAGCTGCAATTTTTTTTTAAATTCTGTTTATATTTTTTATTCTATTGATAAATTATTCCATAACTGTACTTCTTTTCTCCTGTACTTCAAAAGCCGTCTTGATATGCTACAGTTGTAACTTGTTGCATAGTAATTGCCCTTTCCTCTTGTTTTGGTATTAATTTACAAAATTATTTACACATTTGGACAGGACTCTTCCATCCCATTTTACTTTCATTGAATGGAAAAGAGCAGCTCGGACATTCTGCTGAACTTCTCCTTTTGTGTTTCACAGAAAAATGAAAGTCCTTATGAGTAAATGATGACAGCTTTTCATTTTAAATGAACTATTCTTTTAGTACAACAGTTGATATCTTGATAATGTTTAATAATTAATAAATATGTAACTTTGTAGTTTTATTGGTTCATCCAGTGCTGTGACTCCATCCCCATGAAACAGGTCTCCATCTCCATCCTTCTGTTTGCAGGCTCTGAGCAGTCCAAACAGATCGTATTTGCACCCACTTCAGAACCCACATTTGTGAACGTGCCTCAGAACAGTTTTGTGGAGCCATTTGTCTTGAACCCAGGAACCTGGACTGTGATTATAGAGGCGGAGGGCATTCTGCTGGTAGGACCCCCTCTTAAAGAGACTTTCTGCATTATTCCTGCATAAACACACCCTGAACACGTTCTCTGTGTTCTTTCTCTCTGCAGGACTACCTGGTGCTGTTGCCCAGTGCATATTACGAGGCTCCTATCCTGCAACTTCAAGTGATTGAACCCTGTTCATACAGCAACACACAGGATGCCAGTCAAAAGTCAGTAGTACAGCAACTTTTTGTGTACATATGCGTATACTTGTTAAATGCAACGTGACTGGGGTAATAATCTGTCTTTTGGTGTGCTCAGCTGTCTGCAGTACATGTATCTGTCTCTGGATGAGTTCCCATCCATCTCCAGCAATGATGCCCAGTGCAGGGCTGATAATCACCTGCCCAGACCCTGCCACACTGAAAAGATCACTCCTCGCCATCCCATCATGGCCATCTGCAGCGGCAATGACGTAAGCATGTGCACACTCATTTAAAAAGTGTAAATATGTTTTTTCTTTTTTGAAAGAACTTAATACTTTTATTTAGCAAGTATGCATTAAATTGATAACAATTGACAGTAAAGACATTTATAATGTTACAAAGAATTCTATTTCAAATAAATGCTGTTCTTTTAAACTTTCTATTCATCAAAGAATCATGAAAATTTATATCAAGGTTTCCACAAAAAATATTAAGCAGAACAACTGTTTTCTGCATTGATAATAAGGAATGAATCTTGAGCAGCAAATCAGTATATTAGAATGATTTCTGAAGGATCATGTGACACTGAAGAAGAGTAATGATGCTGAAAATTCAGCTTTGATCACAGGAATCAATTACATAAATTTAAATTGCTTTACAATAGAAAACATTTATTTTTAAATTGTAATAATATGTTGTTTTTTTTATTGTATTTTGATTCAGATGAATTCAGCCTTGGTGACCAAACATTAAAAAATCTTACTGAACCCAAACCTTAGAACAGTAGTGTATTAATACATAAAAATCATATTTTTATACAAATAAAATCATATTTGTGCGTTCAGATGAAAGTTCAGCTGCGTGGTCGTGTTCCTGTTCCTGGAGAGTATGTGTTGGTGGTCGAGTACGCCAGTGAAGACCAATTCCCGCAAACGTTTAAAGTGTCTGTCAGCTCACTGGGTGAAACCACTCATCGAGAGGAAATAACACTGCTCCACTGCAAATACAGGTGTGTTTGTGTGACATTGCAGCATTTGCCTTTTCTTTTATTCTTCAGGTATTCACACTCAACTTGAAGGGGTCATATTCTGTATTTTGGTTTATTTCTGCTGTTTGTTTTTGCATCAAACGAGTCATGTTTTGTTTGCATTTCACATAGAATTAAACATGCTGTTTTTGATACCATACCTTTAAGATTTTTATATGACCTCTTTTATGATTGGCTATGCGGTTTGCATGTAAAATGCATGTAAAATGAGTCCTATTTAATGTTTTAATGTAACATCACAAGTTTTAATGAATCATTTTTCTATATTCATCATTCTTTAAGAAGCATGGATATTGCCGTTTAATTCTTCAATTGGTCTTTTTCGCTTTTCTTAATTTTTCTCTGCATTTGCTGATTGATTTGTGTGTATATCTTTCTGTGTATGTGTGTGTAGTTTCCTGTGCCGTGCGGTGTCTGTAGATGACAAGAAGCGCGTGGCGGTCTTTACTCTCTCCACAGAGGCTGATATCCAGCTTAGCACAGACAGAAGCAGTTTTTTCCTCGTGAGAGACTTTTTCTGCTTGAATCTGCCATAATGTCTGTTTGTGTACACTGTAAACATGCCATTTACAAGTGTGTATCTGATTTCCCTTCCAGCACAAAGTGTTCCTCATCCCTCGCGCGCAGTTCACCATGGAGTACCTGAAGCCCAGAGTTCACTGCATCAGCATACATGGACACTTCTCTCCAGACAGGTGACTGAACAACATTCACACAACATGTGAATCTTGAACTGAGTCTTTTGTATTACATCATGCGCCATTAGACTCAAACACTTGTTTTGTTGATTGTTTTTGTTCAACCTTTCTAACCATTTTATTTTATTTCATTGTATAAATTTTTTTTATTGTGTACTGTTTACTGTGTTACCATCTTACCTAAAACAAAATTATTTCACTGCTTTGCAAGCACTGACCTTTCTGGAAATCACATTTAGTTATTTTTCAGCCTTTTTTGAAATTATGACATTTGACTAGTCTACATTTTTACAGTTATAAGTACCTATGATCATAAGACATGATTTGTAGGTATTTTAGGTATCAAAGTGAAGTATATCCGTATGTATTTAACACAATTTCTCCTATTTATGTTCATGTTTTATATTCTCTGTTTTCCAGTGGCTCCTGCATCCCGTCTCGTTTCCAGAATCCTCCTCAGTCTCTGGTCCTAAAAGAGGGTCAGGCTTCTTCTGTGCCGGGTTCGATTATAGCTTCAGCCCCTGATCCCTCCCTGCATGCAGCCAGGCCCATGACCTCCAGACCGCCAACCGCTGCTGATAACAGTGAACACATGCTTCTGGACCCTAATCAGGTACATCAGGCCCATTACACTCTCATTGCTTTCTTACTGTTTCTTCCTTTAAAAGAACCTTTCCCCCTCCATTTATCCATCCAGTGCCCCTGTCTTGAAGTTTGTATCTTTCTGATACTTAAATGCTAATACAAAAGCATGTCTGCAAGTCTTCGGATGTTCATTTGTCTGCTTCCTTTCCCAGAATGCTGTAACGTATTCAACACGTGTACATGCGCTGGGCCGTTATGTGTTCATCCTGCATTACCATCAGCCCCTGCACCCAACTTACAACGTCCAGGTCCACATCAATGGAGGACGCATATGGCAGGGTGAGCAAATAGATTAACACAGACTCACTATTGACTTGAGCTTCTGTTTTATCACTGAAAAAGTCACTCTTTGTATTCCAGGCCACGTCAACGCATCCTTTTGTCCCCATGGTTACGGTTGTCGTGGTGTGGTCATGTCAGAGAACCAGATTATCCTGGACGTGACGGACTATGAGGTCATCCTGACCCTGCGTGTTCCAGACAGGAAGACATTGTGGCTGGTGAGTGTTGTTATCACATTTGACTAAAGGTGAAATGAATTGACAATAACAGTGACACTTCTTTTCTCTTGTGTGTTTTAGGACTATGTGCTGGTGGTGCCAGAGAGCACTTACAGCTCCAGCTTTTTGACTGGGGAGCCACTGGACAAATCTTACGACTTTATCAGCAACTGTGGACAAAACAGCTTTTACATCAAGTATGATACTGCATGATTTGAAAATTCAGGGTGATAATTATAGTCATGTTATGGCCTTAAATAGGCCATAAATAAGTAAATATGTCGCAGATATTAAAATGCAGTCCAATTGTGACTAAATAAATATAAAAATGAAACACTTAAAACACATACACAGCATTATTTTAATTTTTTTAATTATTTTTACTTATGTAAACTATTAAAAATTGTTTTCGGTGATTGAAATAAAGCTGAAATAATATAAAATATACATATTAGATGAAAAGCTTACGCTTAAAAAACGAAAATTAGAAATGTTTCCTTAGATACTAGTTAAAGGGGTCATATGATGCTTTTTTAAAGATCATTATTTTGTGTATCTGGTGTAACAGAATATGTTGACATGCTTTAATGTTCAAAAAACACATTATTTTTCAAATACTGTACATTATTGTAAGTCCTCTATGCCCCGCCTCTCTCAAACGCTTCGTTTTCTACAAAGTCCCTCCTTCCGACAAGCGCAGTCTGCTCTGATTGGCCAGCTGACCCAGTGCATTGTGATTGGCCGAACACCGCAAGCACTCGTCGGAGATGTAACTTCCCTTACCATAATCATGAGCTTCATCTGTCAAAATAAATGTAAAGACAGTAAATAATGTCATCAGTTTTACTGTTATTGAAATATTAGTGCTTTTAAAGTATTAAACTTTAAGTGAGTGTTTTTAAATAATTAAATCAATTCATTAATAAAAACCTTAAATGTAAAAATGTAAATTACACACAATTAAAAATGCAACAATTGCTGATTCCATTAAATTAAAGAAATCTCTAATACGGCTGATAATATGGTGCAAATATATTGTTCATAAACGTATCCCGATATAACATTATTAGAGTGCCATCCATCTTAACATTCCCTCTGTCCTCTCAGCCCGTCCACAGCGTCTCCATTCTGTCGTAACTCCACCATGTCTCTGTCTGCGTTCTTCAATAACGGCGCTGTGCCCTGCGGCTGTCATGAGGTGGGTGCAGAGAGCGATACGTGCGAGACCTTCGGAGGACAGTGCAAGTGCAGACCCAACGTGATTGGCCGAGACTGTTCCCAGTGTGCCACGGGATACTACGGCTTCCCCAACTGTAGACGTGAGTATCACCAACCACATGGTGGAACGATGGATTGGTTGATGGATGGATGGATGGATGTTTGCTTTTCTCTCTAGCATGTAACTGTGGCACTCGTCTGTGTGAGCCTGTGACGGGTGAGTGCATCTGTCCTCCAAGGACCCTGCAGCCCGACTGTGTCACCTGTGAACCCCAGACGTTTGGCTGCCATCCTCTGGTGGGGTGTGAGATGTGCAACTGCTCCAGGCCTGGAGTGGCTTCACTGGAAATCGGCTGTGACACACACAACGGCCAGTGCAGGTACAGTAGAGCAAGACACACACACGCATATATACTGCATGCAGTGGCTCATGGGGTCGACTTTCTAAGAATCTGAATGTTTATGAATATGTGGTTTAAAATTTGCCCCAGTTTAGCTCAGGAATGCCCAAACAAATGAACAAATTGAAGCTTTTTTGGCCCATCAAGGACCATTTTAGGACCATCATGATTTTTATTTTTACATTTTTGTTTGTGGCAGTTCAGCACTTTTTCCACAATCATGTCTCAAGGATGTAGTATATGCGTCCTTATACCTCATTCCTGTGACAATTCTTCTGACATCATATTATTTCTTCATCATTAATTCTCTATCAGTGTTATTCTACTATTTTTTTTATGTACTGTTATAGTGTTTATTAATATAAATACAATAAAAAATTGTACATGTTCTCTTTCCAAATAAATAAATAAAAACAATATATTTGAATTAGCTTCATTAGCTATATTTCTTTTTAGCTTTAATCTATATTTATGTTTTAGTTTTAATAATTTTAACTTAACCTTTTTTATTTCAGTTAGTTTCCAAGGCAACTTTTCTAATTAAGTTGTTAGTCTAATATTTAATTCCATTTAGAAATTAGAGTTTAAGACGAATTTCATTTATAGTCAGCATGGCAAACTGTTTTAATCATATGAACTAGTGAACAAGAAAAAGTTTAAATCAGGGGGAAATGTGCTTCTTTTTATATATAAAAAACAATGGTTCAATGGAAAATATAGCAAGTGAGGCAAAGCAAAAGCACACCTGTGGAGGTGCAAATTGAAGGAAAAAATACTTAATTGAAAAAGAACAACTTCACACTCACTTAAGCATTGGCTATTTTTAATCAACGTTTCGGCTAGTAGCCTTTGTCAAGGTACCTTGATTAAAAAAAAGAACAACTGCACACAAACGTTGATTAAATGCTTAAGTGAGTGTGCAGTTGTTCTTTTCCAATGGAAAATATAACCATTGTAATTTGTTCTTTTGATTTTGGGGTGAAATATGCCATGGACAGGTTCTTGAGATTTGTGAAACTAAACGTGTCTGGTGTTTGAAGTCAGCTCGTTTGGATTAGATTTATTAACAAGTGTTTACAACTGACCTTTTTATGCCTGAGCCAAACTTTTTTCTGTGAAGCGCTGCCTGAAGAACTGATATTATTAACCGCTGTCTCTGGTTAGAACAATACTGCCTATATAAGGATTAAGTGCAGGAATTCCAGAGGTATTTATTTTTAGGAGATTTTATTTCAGTCTATTGGCTGCACCATCCCCTCATTAGGCCGTGTTTAAAATCCACGAGGAAGCGGGATTTGAGGTGCTGTGACTGTGAGCTGCACAATCTCTCCACCATCTCTGCATTTAGAGAGAATATCATAAATTATAACTCATGCATCATCCATTGAACATTGTCATGTTAATTAACTATAACTGGATAAATGGAAAATAACTATGGCAGTTTGCTTATAGTTGGATAGAATGCTTTAGGCCAAAGCCATGAGCTTGTTTTTGGACTGGGTCTGGTAGAGTATAATGACTATATTTTGGGTCACAGGACATTGTCACATTTCTTAACCACATTCCCTCTTTAGCATGAGAGCTTGTTGGTTTTGTTGAGACATGATAAGAGCACTGCTACAGGTATCCCATCATCTTAGAGCATCAGCTGACTCTGAAAACACATAATACATACTTCATGTTATTTGCATCATTCTAAAGCACATTACTCCCTCCTCAGGTGCAGGAACAACGTTGTTGGCCGTCAGTGTGACAGGTGTGCCCCAGGTTTCTATGGATACCCCAACTGCAGACCATGTGACTGCAGCGAGGCAGGAACTGAGATTGATGTCTGTGACTACATCACCGGACGCTGTTTGTGCAAGGTGACTCTTTCTTTCCTTCTGCCCCTCTTTTATTGTATGAGAATATGTATATATAATTTTTCACTCAAAACATTCAGGACTCTCCCTCATCATCTCTGTTATATCAGTGATGTGTTGTTTCTCTCAGGAAAATGTGGAAGGCTCTCGCTGTGACCAGTGCAAACTGGGAACGTTCCATTTGGACCCCACTAATGCTAAAGGCTGCACCAAGTGCTTCTGCTTTGGAGCCACTGACCGCTGCCACAGCTCTGACAAACGGAGGAATGAGGTACTCTACTGCAGCTAAAGACATGTTGTTTAATAAATAAAGAAATACACCTTTATACAAACGCATATACATTATAGTTTGGGATTGGTAAGATTTTTGAATGTTTGTGAAAGAAGTCTCTTATTCTTACTAAAGCAAAATAGTAAAACAGTAATATTGTGACCTATTATAACAATTCAAAACAACTGTTTTCTATTTGAGTACGTTTTAAAATGTAGTTTATTCCTGTGATGCAAAGCTGAATTTTCAGCATCAGTACTCCAGTCTTCAGTGTCACACGATCCTTTTAGAAATAACTCTAATATGCTGATTTGCTGCTTGAGAAACATTTATTTTTATTATCAAGGTTGAAAACAGTTGTGCTGCTTCATATTTCTGTGGAAATTGTGAAACTTTCCCCCCCCCAAGTTATTTTGATGAATTGGAAGTTCAAAAGAACAGCATTTATTTGAATTAGAAATCTTTTATAGTATTATAAAACTACCGCTTTTGATCAATTTAATGCTTGTTGAATAAAAGCATTCATTGAAAAACCTAAACTTGATTCCTCTTCCTAAACTTGAATGGTTAAATGCAATAGAAAGTGTCTTATGGAGATATTGAGCTTACCTATTCTTATCTGTCCATAAAATGTATGCAGTTTGTGGCAATGTACCAGTTACCAAAATATATCTATAAAGATTTGTCAATGCATTTTTGATATTTTTATCATGGTACGTCCAGTGTTTTCAGTGGCGTTGAATATCCAGACAGTACAATATCATAGGAATCATATTTTACCATCTTTCTGTTGAGTTGTCATCACAGGCTACATGCAAAAACATGTATACAGCAGTGTAGTCTGATTCACACACCGATGACCCTTGTGAGCTGGCTCTCTTAATGAATCATTGAAAAAGACTCATTACAAATCTTTCACTGAATAAAATCACTGAATCAGTCGGAGCAGTTACAGTACAAAATAAACAACTCGCTCCAACTGCAGGTTATCGCTCTTTTCAATGAACTTTTGTGTACTGGATGTCGGTGAAAATTAATTCAGTGTAAATACTGACTGCTATAACATTGAACTTATACCTTTGCTTTAATCTGCCCACCTACAGTTCATGGACATGGCTGGCTGGGTGCTATTGAGAAGTGACAGACAGGAAGTTCCTGTGTCCACGTATCTCGATCAAGATCTGGTGGAGGCTGATCTGAGTGATGTACCTGATGTCTCACAGGACCTTCACTGGCACGCTCCTCGCGCTTACCTCGGCGATAAAGTGAGTCCATAACAATCTGTGATATTCACAAGCATGTCACTCAACCAGAGTTGTGAAGAGCATTTCTGTGCTCTGATCTTCTACACCTAGACTTTATAGCCTATGTGAGTCTTATTATGATGACATTGCAGATGAATCTCCATCAGATAGCTCACATTAATGCTACGGGTAACATGAGGGCCAGACAAACAATCTGATAACTCAAGCACACCTTGTTTAGGCTGGTGCCAAATGTTAGCACCAGCTTAGTTGCTTGAGAAATCATGTCTTAAGCTGCTTTTGTGTTTTCTTTTCTATGCATCTGTGTAGGTGTCGTCGTACGGAGGCTACCTGCGCTACCGCTTGCATACCCAGACGATGAGAGGTGATGCTTTTCTGATCATTGAGACCACACGGCCTGACGTTATACTCAAGGTACTACAGTCTCCTTCTGTCAAGTTTACCAAGAGTTTTTACTTGAGGCCTAAGTGAAAGTCTTTGTGTGCAGGGGAATCAGATGACTCTGGTGTACATGGAAAGAGAGTATTCCTCTCCTGAAGACCCTCATGAGGGGATCGTCCACCTGGTGGAGGTGAGGAACTTAGTGCCCAAATCTAAAAAAGAAAAGAATATGGTCTTCGGAACATGAAAAAAAAACAGAATTGTACAAAATAATTCCGCAAATGCACAATTGTTGCAATTCAAGTGTGCTCTTTCTCATTGCAGGACAGTTTCAGGCATGCACAGACGGGAAACTCTGTGTCCCGTGAGGAGCTGATGATGGTGTTGGTGGCGCTGGAATCACTGCAGATCAGAGCGCTGCACTCTCAGTCTGCCCAGTCTGTGTCGCTGCGTGCTGCGGTGCTGGAGGGGGCCGACAACCTGCCCTCCGGTCGCCATGCCAACAACGTTGAAATTTGTCTCTGCCCAGGATACTATCTAGGAGACTCTTGTCAGGTAGTGTGCTTTAACAAAAACAAATTATTTTATATAATTACTTCTATACTATCATTTAATGCCTCTTCTTCTTTAGAGGCCCTGCGTGAACAGGACTTGTCAAAATGCCATTAAATCAATTTGCCTGGTTAATAATAATGCTGGAATAAAGTTATATTGCTGGGGAAGTTCTGTATTGATGCTGTTTAGGAGTTTGAACATTACTGGTTTAAACACATAAAAAGTTCTTTTTTGGGGGGCATTTTGTTTTAACGTAGAATTTTATAGTATTTATTTTTACATGATTTATTTGACAGTATTTCAATACTGGTACAAAATCCTGGTTCAATATTACAAAAAAGGTTTTAGTACAATTAAAATGCAAAATGTATTTGTTTTATGTATTTTGTATATTTTAATTGTATTTTTCTATACAGTTTACCCTTCACAAAGACTTTGTGAAGTGTAAACTGTATAAAAAATACAATTAAAATATACCAAATTAATTAGTGTTGCTATGTCCAACAAGCCGTAACATACTTTTGTTATGAAACAAAGTCTCAGCTTTCAAATCTTCTCATTTTTAGGAAATGTAAACAATAAATAGTGTTTTGTGGCTCTTCAATGTGTCGCTGTAATGCCTCAGTTCAAGCAGCATGAGAACTGATCATCTCTTCCTCTTTACTAGTTATAGCACAAAATAAACATGAATGAACATCAGAAGGTTTCTTGTTTCACCTGCAGAAAGATGTAAATACACACCATTTTTCAAGTTCAAGTCCACCGCGTCATTCTACTCTCTGGTTTGTTTGTCTGACAAAATGGCAGATTCGCCGTTATGATTGGTCAGATCGCCTGTCAATCAAACCAGCAATAAATATTAACAAACAACATAAAAGTAAATAAACATTAATGAAATCAGACATAACTAGAAATAGACAAAAGTAACTACTATTAACATGCTTATGTTACATTTTATGTTAAATAGTGATTAATCTAACATCTCTCTCCAAAAAAGAGGTTTTATTGTTTCAAAAAATTAATAGGATGTCAAGCTGTGCCCTGTGGCAAATTGTGCCATTAATTACATTTGGGGAGTAAAAGAATACTAGCAATTCACACACCATGCATACAGAAAGTTTATTTGGTATTTTTTATTTATTACATTTTATTGCCCATCCAATCAGAAATGCAGATTGATGCAAAACAAGTCATTATTAAGGAATACTGTGCAGTTGTTCCGACTGGGTTCTGGTATTGTTAACATGTTCATTCCTTCATCTCCTTCGCTCAGAAATGTGCTCCAGGATACTACAGAGATACTAAAGGGCTGTTTCTCGGGAAGTGTGTCCCCTGTAACTGTAACGGTCACTCTGACGAGTGTCTGGATGGCTCTGGCATATGTCTGGTGAGTCTGTTTCACGAAGTCATATATAAATCACAAACAGACTTAAATATGGGCAGTATATTGCTATTGCAGATTCCACTGGGTTTAGAAAGCAAAATCATAAATCTAATTAAGGTTTAAGATCCTGGGAAAGACCTCTCAATGTTCCAAGAATGGATGTTGGAGCACAACTCCAACTAAAAGTTTAACTCCTCATATGCAGAACTGCCGCCACAATACCGCTGGAAATCATTGTGAGCAGTGCCAGGGCGGCTTTCATGGTAACAACATTGTTGATGGCCATGCGGTGTCCTGCTCTAGCTGCCCCTGCCCTCTGCAAGTGGCTTCAAACAAGTCAGTTTGTCTTATTTCATCATCTGTACCACTAATTTACTGTTTCCTGTTTGTCTCTTTTTCTTTTGTTGATTTGCTTGAAATTTGCCAGTGGATTTTTTTCTTCCTGGTTTCTTTTCTGGCTTCTGCTTTTACTCCCAGGATATCCCAGCATGCCTCATTCTCAAATTAAAGGATGTTGTCTGTTTGATCTTATCAGTTTTGCCATTCGCTGTGTGGAGAAGCCCAATCATATGCATTGTCTATGTAGGCCTGGCTATGCTGGATCTAAGTGTGAAAGGTACCGTTATGAAGCATCCACTTATTGTGGATGAATTAAGAATTGGTGTAATTTTTGAATGTATGTATGTTTGATAGTATTTGTCATAATAATAAATAAAAATACTATAAAATAAAATAATTAAAATGTATCAATTATAATTTTTATATTAAATTAAATCAAATGATACATTTATACATGATAAAAATATATTAGTATTATTAATAAATAATTAATTACTGTAAATTTGAAAATGATATATATCAATGAAAATTCAATTCTTTTTTTTCCCCTTATACAGGTGTGCACCAGGTTACTATGGAAACCCAATGGTGATTGGCAGCACATGCCAGCCGTGCAACTGCAATGGAAACTCAGACCCCAACATGCTGTTCAACGACTGCCACCCTTTGACAGGCGAGTGTCAGAGCTGCATGCACAACTCCGCCGGGCCGCACTGTGAAATCTGTGCCCCGGGTTTCTACGGTGATGCCATCACTGCCAAGAAATGCACCCGTAAGACAACTTTTATACACAGTTGGAAAAAATTCTGTTTATGCAGTCTGGACGGCATTTCCTGTATTCAAAGAGTTCTCATGATTGTGTTATTTCCCACCTGCATTACCAAGGATGCAACTGTTCTCCTTGTGGCACTGCACATTGTGACCCTCACACGGGACAGTGCCACTGTAAGCCTGGTGTGGTGGGAGCCCACTGTGACCGCTGTGAGGTATGTCTCTTCATCTGTTTTGTCTTCATCTAATGTTTAGTCTTGGAAGTTGATGGCAATAGTGTTTTTTTTGTTTGTTTGTTTAGGATGAGGCATTTGGCTTTGATTCCTGCGCTGGTTGCCATAAGTGTGATTGTGATGCAGCAGCGGCATTGATTCAGCCATGTGACCCTGTTAACGGCTCATGTGCCTGTCAGCCTGGGGTTAATGGACCGAACTGCCGCCAGTGTGCTCCAGGTTACTGGGGCTACAGCCCTAATGGCTGCAAGAGTGAGTCAAACACACACGTACACACTGCAGGAGGGAATGTGATGCATTATGAGTTGAATTTATTGATGTATCTGTGTGTGGTCTGTAGAGTGTGAGTGTAGAGGAGGCCGCTGTGACCCTCGCACAGGAGAGTGCCATTGTGCAGCAGGTCTGACAGGGAAGCAGTGTGACACGTGTCTTTATAAATACAGCGTCCCTGTGCTTCATGAAGCAGATGTGCACTGTCAGCGTGAGTACTGCTTCACCGGTCACACTTCATTCATTCTTTCATCTTTACTGACTGATTCATTCATTCGCTAAGTGATTCATTTATTCATCCATTTGCTCACTCATTTGTTATCAGTTGCACTACCGTTCAAACCTTTGGGGTCAGATTTTTGTGTGTGTAAAAGAAATGAATACTTTTATTCATATAGATGGATTAAATTGATCAAAAGTGACAGTAAATGCATAAAGATTTCTATTTCAAATACATGCTGTTCTTTTGAACATTTAATCCTAAAAAGAAGTGTGAGTTTCCACAAAAATATTAGAAAGCATATTAGAATCTTTACATCTCAGGAATAAATAACATTTTATAATATATTCAAATAGAAAACAGTTATTTAAAATTGCAGTAATATTTCACAATATTGCAATATTTTTGATCAAATAAATGCAGACTTGGTGAGCGTAAGAAAATTCACAGAAACAAAAACAATGTTCAAAAGCATTAACTTTTACCACATTTTAGTATATATACACTCACTTAATAACTGAATGATCCGTTGAGTCGATAATTAATTTACTCACTCATTAATTCATTCAATCACTCTGTCAATACAAAGGTAAAGTGAACAATATTTTTTGCAGGTTGCAGTTCATTTCATACATCAGATAATGATGTTGTGCATTATGTTTTTAGCCTGTGACAGCTGTGTGATAGTGCTACTGGAGGATCTGGACAAAGTAAACGAACGTTATCAGTCCATTGCCGATCAGCTGACCAGCCTCAATGCCAGCTCAATGGCCTGGGCTCAACTAAACCGCCTCAACGCGTCCATTCAGGACATTGCTGTGAGTCTCTCTCTCTCTCACACACACATACAGTCTCTGACTCTGTATTAGGACTTTTAGATTTTACTATTTGCCTCACTTTAACTTTTAGTATTATAATTACAACTATATTTGTATGCCCTAGAATGCCATAAAAAACTACAACAGCACTTTGGACAAGAGCAGGAACCAGGCCAATATGCTGGAGGGAGAGCTGCAAATCATCGACTTGGATATTAAAGAGTTAGAGGAGAAGGTATGAGAACATATCATTAGATGAACTCATTCTGATTAAATATCCATTTGTTGTTGTTTTCTAACGGTCGGTGTCTAAAAGGGACCATTTGACGATATTGACTAACATTTTTATTGGGTGTCTGTGTTTTAGGCCTCAGTCACACAAAAGAAAGGCGATGCTTTAGAGGACAACACTAACTCCACACACACTAGAGCACAAGACCTGCTTGGATTCATCAAAGGCATCATGGGAGATGTGCAAGGTAAGAGTGCGACAAAGAAAAAAAAAGCTGTGTCTCATTGCATTTAACCTTTATACTTAAACTTTACAGCCACATTCAGCTGACAACATTTCTGCTTCTGCTCAGACATTATACTGCAGGTGAACCGGACAGCGCAGAACGAGACCAAGGTGATCGATGAAAAGGAGCTGGCTCGGAATATAGCAGAGGTGGAGTCCATGCTCAGAGACATGCGCTTCAGGGGCTTCGACCTCCAGAAGAAACTAGCAGAAAAGGAGCTGGACCAGGCCAACAAGTGTGAGTGACAGGACAGACAGAGTCTCTAAGATATGCTCACCAACCTCAGCCTTTTTCATTTTATTGTGTAACAGCATGGGACCTAAGCTTATAACCCTTTATAAATACTTGATTTTGGATTGAAAAAGGTTAAAAGCCTTTATACTGTACTATATAGAACTATAAAAGTGCATTTTAATGCATTAACTTTGCTTTGTAATGCACATTATAATGCATTATATTATATCACAAATAAATATAACCACTGTTATAATACTTTATACAAAAAGGAACAAAAATCTATTATAAATAAAAATAAGATTTATAAGTGCTGCATGTTTTTTTCTGTGTTTAAGATGGTAGACCTTGTCTTTCACAGCTTTTGTCTCTCTGTAGTGATAGATCGTGTGAAAAATGAGATTGCAAACCGGACACTGAATAATGAGGCTGTGGCAGAGAACATCAGAAACAAACTGAACCAGTTCAATCAGCAGCTGATGGACCTGAGAGATGCTATGAATGATGCCGTCAAAAACACAGCAAACGCCGTAGAGGCCAACAATATTAACCAGAAACGCATGGAGGAGTTGCAGGTATTTATACAAACACATGCACATACACAGGATTGGAACAAAATACCACATTTAAGAGTTTGAAAAAGTTGAATTGGGATTTGAGTTGGAGGAGGAATTGTGAAGAATGTGAAGTAAATTGATCTGATGTGTTTTTCTAGAACATAGTGAATAACCTGCTTAAGAAGCAGAAGGAGGTGGAGAACCAGCTTCAAATGGCAGAGGATGATGTGACCCAGGTCAACGAGCTGCTCTCCATGCTTCAGGACTTCAAAGAGGTACAGATACACAGGAGCGGCATGCTTGTGTGTGCATAATCAAATATAACATTTCTGTGTACTATAAATGAGCACATACTCGGACTCATGCATGCTGTCTCTGGATGATGTGTCGTCTCTATCAGGATTACGAACGTCTGGCTGCTCAGTTGGATGGAGCGAGGCAGCCTCTAGCTGAGAAGGTGCAGAAATACGCTCCTTCCGCCAATAAAATTCCCCTGGTGGAGGCTGCAGAGAAACACGCTGAAATGCTGGACCAGCTCGCCAATAATCTTTCCAGGTGCCTGACTATTTTGTAGTGCTCAATTTAAAGCTGCAGTCTGTAAGTTTTGCCTCTTTGTCACCATCTGTTTGAAAACCTGGAATTGCAGCTGTGTGCGGAATTATCTAGCTTGCGTGGGTTGTGAGTCGGCACGGCTCCAGCGCGGATTAATCTAATGTTTTGAGGAGTATGTGTGGCAGTCAGTCACCGCACCGGTGTGAATCCTATACTTAGTAATCACAGATTCTAGCCTACGTCTTGGAATATGACCCAAATAAGAATTTTCACCGTATATTACCATCTGAACAAGTAAGTAACAAGTCTGCCACGTTTGTTCTGACCAACTGAGGAAAACAGCATTACCTTAAATCTCACTACCAATGGTGATTAAATGTAAAGATCGGTTAGCTCATATCACATCAAACCGTTCAAATTATTATTATTGTTATACTTTATTCTCAAATGATTAATGTTAACAACATCAGCATTGGTGACTATGAGTATAGTGTGTATTAGCGTGTAGATTTCAATTTCTGCACAGTCTAATCTAATTGTCATACTCTTCGAATTTCATATTAAGAAATTATTTTAACCCAAAAAGCAAATTATGCTCCCTTCTAACTGGTTGTCTTTAAAATACAAATCTTTGTAATCCCAGGCTATCTGTAATCAGAAGCACATTTATAACTGGAATATAATTTAATTTCATTCACACATGTTTCATAAACACATAATCCTTTCTGGATTACAATCCGCCATCAAAATGATACATTTAATTATTCTAGCTGCTGTGAGAAAAGGCTATAAACGATCGGCCACCTGCAGGATCCTCACATGCGATAGCTAGTAGCCGGGACAACTTCTTTATGTTTACAGACGTGACGTAATGATGCAGCAGCATGCTCGAATTTCCCGCAAAAATCTACCAGTACCACTCAAATTAGAAAACATTATTATAAGATAACCATTGTGAATCAGGCTAAAGTAAGGCGATGGTTTTAAACACTGACTGGTTATGTACTTGCTCAAATATTGATTTCAGATAATTTTTAACCAAAAAAGTTAAGGACGGCAGCTTTAAATTGGCTTTTTAATGAGCGATTCTGATGCTAGATAGCAGGGTGACTGATGGCCAATGTATTCCAGTGTACATAATTAAAGGGCAGCAAATGAGGGATCCACAAAATTGCTGAATTGAACAAATATTTTACACAATATTTATGGAATTATTGTAAACAACAAAATGCAATTAGCAAAGCAATTTTATTTAACATTTCATATACAATGATAATTCAATGATAATATAATATGATAAATGTATCTTTATATGTAACATCGTGGCCTTGTGTTTGTTGGTGTGCAGTCTAATATCTGGCTCCAATCAAGACGGTTTCATACAGCGTGCTCTGAACGCATCTCGCGCATACACTAACATTATAAACAGCGTGCTGGAAGCTGAGACTGCAGCTAAGAAAGCCAATGAATCTGCTACTGAGGCTTTGGAGGTACAGTCAACCACACACTCCGTCAACTGTGCATGCGCATCAGTGCACCTTTATCGATGCATGTGTAAGTGACACAAATTAAGTTTTTATTGTTTATTTATATGATCTAGAACATAAAGGACACAGACCTGCCCCTACACGCTGCTAAACTGAAAAATCAGAGTATTGAGCTTGTGAAGCAAGCAGAGGAACTGAATAACAGCACTCAAAGTAAGAAAAGCAAACTAATGCTTCTTTCAAGGTACATCTTTGTTGGTGTGAACCTCGGTCTAATGCAGGCCTTTACTATATCTTTGTCAGGTCTAAAGCCACGCTTGGACTCCATACAAAAAAGTTTGCAGGATGCTGAAAAGAAGAAAGAGAAAATACTCCAAGACCTAAAGAACATTCAAAATAGCCTCAACGCCAGCCGAGGTCAGAGCTCAAAGTCCCCAGAACATTTATTTGAAATAGAAATCTTTTAAAACCTTATAAATGTTTTTACTGTCACTTTTGATCAGTTTAATGCATGACTGCTGAATGAAAGTAATTAACTTAAAAAATGACTGCCCGCAAACTTTTAAATGCTAGTGTATATATTCGAGTCTGTCAAGCTTAATTGAATCAAAACCATGACCTAAACATTGTCATTAATATGTGTTGAAATGATGCAGAAGACATAGCGAACGACATCGCAGCAGCTAAGAGTGCGGTGGAGCAGGCTAACAACACGGTGGCTAATGTTAGCAACGCACTGGCTCCAATTCAGAAGCAGCTGGAGGAGTGGCAGAAGCAGTACGGAGACTCAAACGCCACCAGCGATGATATCAACAGAGCTCTCAATGATGCCAATACGTCAGGTGCGTGTGAGGGAGCTCTCCTGAGTGAGCATGTGTGATCTCGACGTGGCTTTCACATCAAGTCCAATGTGTTTCTGTGTTCCTGCAGTGGCGGCGCTGAGTGACACTCTTCCTCAGCTGATGGAGAAGTTGGATCGTCTACAGAACACCTCATTTCAGCCGTCCAACATCTCCGACAGCATCCAGAGAATCCGCCAGCTCATTGAACAGGCTCGCAATGCTGCCAACAAGGTACAGCTCTTCAGAAGCCGCAAAGTATTCCCAGTTTTCCAGATACAAAAATTCCCAGATTGAAGTGGTGCTTTAGGCAGTGACTCGACTGTCTGTTCTTCAGGTGAGCGTGTCAATGCAGTTTAATGGTAACTCAGGAGTACAAGTGAGGATGCCCAGTAATGTAGCCGACCTGGCAGCATATTCATCGCTACACATGTACATCAAGCTACCACGTGCCACACGTACACTACGCCAAACTACCACCAATCCCCAGTTTGTCCTCTACCTTGGAAAAAATGGCGTAGGCTAACTTCCTCAGCTTATACCTTTTGTGTTTTATGATATGTTGCATGTGTTATTATATTAAGCTGTTTTGAGTTGCGCATATGTGTGAATATAAACACACGTGTCTGTGCTGAATGTGTACTGTAGTCCAGTAAAGACTATATGGCAATGATGCTGGAAGGATCAAAGCTGCGCTGGTACTTTAATGTGGGAGGAGATACAGCACAGGTGCTGATGACTGAGAGCGTGAATAAGGATTACTTCAGCAAAGTTGTCCTGGAGAGGTGGGAAACGTGCACACCATTGTTACCGACACATACCTGTTGAGCTTTGACTTCATTGCTATTATTTTCCAGCTGTATTTACTCTACTTCTACTGTATTTGTGTGCAGGACTCTACAGTACGGTCAGATGGCAATGTCCCTAGATTCAGAAGAAATAAATATAGTTAAGCAAAGCATGGAGGCAGGAGGAGAAAAAGGCCTGCTCAACTTACCAGCCAAAGAGACTGTGTTTTATGTCGGAGCTTATCCCACCGATTTCACTGTGAGTAACACAAAACCCCTGTCTATGGAGCAGGATATCTTAAACACTTAGGAGTGGGCACTTTTGACTTGAGCCAATGAGCAAACCACCTGAGCAACTCTTGTATTCTGCTAGGATGCATTAAATAGATCAAAAGTGACAGACGGTTTTATAAGTTACAAACAGTTTCTATTTTAAATATATCCTTTCTGTTCATTAACGAATCCTGAAAAAAGAATCACAGTTTCCACAAAAGTGTTTTCAGCATTGATAATAATAAATGTTTCTTGAGCAGCAAATCAGCATATCAGAATGATTTCTGAAGGATCATGTGACGCTGAAGACTGGAGTAATGATGCTGAAAATGCAGCTTTGCATCACAGGAATAAATGACATTTTAAAACATATTCAAATAGAAAATTGTCATTTTAAATTAAAATAATAATTCACAAAATGACTGTTTTTGCTGTGTTCATAAAGAATTAAATGCAGCCTTGGTGACCATAAGAATCTTAAAATAAGAGTTTTTTTTTTTTTTTACTGATTGCCATTGGTAAACATTGGATATTTAATCATTTTTACTTTGAGATTACCTTTGCCATCATCTCATACTCATTTAAAGTTGATAATTTAATAATAAACTAATATATCTTTGATTTGTTTCAAAGCAGCTTCACAGTAATAAATAGAAAAGTAATGTTGCACAATTCTTCATTACACAATTCAGTTTCAGCTGTAAAGCAACTCTACAGAAAACAATAGTGTGATCAGTTCAATGAATGATTTAATTCAGTTCCGTTGCATTGTCAGTGTTGCAAAGATCATCAATTATGAAACAAATTTGATTAAATTAAAGCAGGTTTACAGTAGTAAATAGTGTCATTATCCAGCTCAGTTCAAGTTTTGTTCTCATCCGATGGTGTCAGTGCAGTCATATCAATAATATTACTCCGTTTTAATTGTCTTTTAAACCCAAATGAGCAAGCCAAAGGTGACCAAAACTGAACTGGTGTAGAATTTTACAATTGGCCATTTATTGATTGAAAATAATTATCAGTTATTTTTTAAGCATCCATAATGATAATATTGGTGGATTTTCCTAAACATTTCACAATTTCGCACTCTCTTTCTCTCAAACACACAGCCTCCAATGGATCTGAACATCACGTCTCCTAACTTCTTCAAGGGCTGCCTGGAGTTATTAAGTCTAAATGAAGAACTAGTCAGCCTCTATAACTTTGAGCAAAACTTGCAAATGAGCACCACAACTGACCTCCCTTGTTCACGGTCAGAGGGGTTTCATTTATTATTTATTAAATCATATAATCTGTGTTAACCTCTTTGCGAGAGTGCGTTCCTTGTCAAATCGCTTCGTGTGTTTGAACAGGAAGAGGCCAGCAAATACGCCCGAGTGGGGAGTTAACGGAGTGTATTTTGATGGTTCGGGCTATGTTGAGGTTTTGTTCGAAACTCTGAAGGACGACCGTGTGTTTGAGCAGCATGTCAAACTCATCTCGCAAAACGGCATTCTCCTGTTGTTCCAAAGACAGGTGAGACGTGGCCTGCAAAACGTAGGATTTGTGATTGTCTGACGCAGGTTATGGTGTTAATGTCATTCTTTTCCCTTCTCAGGATAAGTATGTGTGCGTAGCTGTGCAAGACGGTCTTCTTAAAGTCCTACATAACCTTGATGGACGGTTGTCCAACTTAACTGACCCACAACAAGAGTCAAATATTAAAATCAGTAATGCACAAGTGAAATTTGTGAGTGAAACCTTCTATTTATTCCAGTAATTTCTCGCATATCTGCTTATCTCTGTAAGGTTGATTTATTTTAATGTTTTCTGTGTTTGTTGTTTTCAGTTGGATGTTATCTTTCAACTTTCGAAAAATGAAATGCTAGTGAGGCTAGATCGTCAGAAGATCTACACGCTTTCCAGCAGAGAGCTCAGCTTCACAGGAAGATATTTCCTGGGCGGAGTGCCAGAGGATCAGATGCCCGAGAGGTGACCATGCAGATATTTCCACAGAGATATTAGATGCAGGGCTGGGGATCCGAGGTAGAATTAACTATCTGTGCATGTCATTGCAGTTTAAAGAGTGTGTTTCATAAACACGGCTCCATAAAGGGCTGCTTCAGGACCGTTAAGGCCATGAAAAGCTTTGTTCAAATGAAGACCATGAAGAGTGCAGGGATCAGCTATGGCTGTCCAGATGACCTGCTGGTGAGCGTCTTCATACTTGTTTCTTCAGGTTGGGAATCTACATACAAATAATGCTAATGATTCCGGAACATCTGTGTACGATGAGGGAATATACTTACATTCGCACTTAGTTCATTGTGAAAAACGAGGCCTCCAGAGTCCAGGGTGTGAAGTAACGAATCCAGCTATGGTAAAGGCCCTGATGTACTTCAAGAAAAATCTTCAAACAAAGTGGATCTATTTTCTAAATGCATGTTATTGATCTTATTGTGAACAATTCATCCATGCATGTTTTTTTTTTAATGATTTCTTCAGTCAGTTAGTCCACTTAAACCCTTTTCTTTGTTTGATAAGCCATTGTAATGGAGATGTGCATCACAATATGCAAGAAAAGATCTGTCTCTACTTCCGTTTCCTCGTAACTGTAAGAACAAAGTTGCATTATGTCATTTCTAATGAAATCTGGCCGATACGAAAGTTTATTTAGTTGCTCTGAAAACAGCTGGTTAACAGCTGTTAAACACTTTCTAACTGCCTTTAGTCCAAGATGGGTGTGACCGCTTACTTTGATGCAAACATCATTTCCAGTTCATTTCTTCACTCAGTCCATTACATTTGTATATTTAAATGCTTCGCACCCAGCAACACGGGTGTCCGAATTTTTGCAACCAGTATAACACATTTCTTTTTAACAAATAACGTCTGTGTGAGTATACCCAAGCCTTTAGCTTAAGAAATATGATTTAGGCCATGCCAATATTACTTGACTAGACACTTTGTTAAAATATGTAACAAAGCAAAGGAACAAATTGAAATGGTTAATAGCAAATGATCTTTTTTAGAATTGTTATTACTGTAAACATGCTAAAATAACCACGCTTAAATAAGCCACTATGAGAACGGAGTTATTAAATGAATCTAGATAATAAACCAGAATCGCGCAGCGGATTCAGAATCTGTAAATTCCTTATGATTCCCAACCCTACTGATTTCCACCATATATGATTTCTCCTGTATTAAGACGTGTTTATGTGTGTTTGTGTTGTGTGCCAGTTTACCCGTGAGGCTCATTTCACTGGTGAAGGTTACCTGAGCTTGAAAATGGACAATGTACTGGATCATCCAGACAACTTCTATGCTGGAATCGGCTTCAGGACAGATCAGCAAAACGGGCTCATGTTTTACCGGCAAGGCCAGGTACAAATTACACTGGTTACAGTTTGACATACTGACTATTGAAGACACTTGCAGCCATTGTCAAAGTCTGTGTTTGTGTTGGTCTCCTCAGAGTGATGTGTGTCAGGTGGTCTTGTCAGGCGGTAATGTAGTAGTCCGTGCTGGCAATAATGAAGTCACTTCTCAGAAGACGTATAACGATGACAACAGTCACTATGTTGCATTTTACCGCACAACAGAAGGGTATGCCACTATATGTTTGTTATAAATGTACAATCAAATTGTGTTTGTGACCATTTCTGCCTCCGTTTAGGTTACGCGTTTATATAGACGATGTTCTTGAGAGTGGAGGAGGAACTGGCAGTGCGGCCAACATCAGCGCGGTGCTACAGCCTGGCATTACTTATGTGGGCGGCATACCGGAGTCAGACGGCCTCACCGGCTGCCTCACTAACTTCTTCATAAAGAGGTGTGTGATGCAGAGAGAGGTGTTAGAAATAGATTAATGGAGGGAAATTCTAATGAATGATCAATTAAATCTTATACCTGAATGTATAAGCTTTATGAAAAGGTGCAGTTAGATCAGCTCTTATAATTTATACATTGTGTTCTTAGAATTAATGAACCCCAGACTGTTGAAGATTTGAAAAAAGCTCAAGAGGGACGCAAATACACATTTGTTTGCCCCTCCTCTTCAGTCCCATTGGAAATACTGGACTCACCACGGAGAAAGAATCCAAAGGTACTATTTTATTTTATTTATTTGTTTGTTTTTATTGGTTTTGTTTTATTTTATTATATTTTTAAATAAAATAAAATTACAAATTTAAAATCACTGTATTATTTTAATAACACATAAATGTTTAGTTTATTTAGAATATTATGACGTTTTAATATTATATTATTTGTAGTATGAAATCGATTTCCACTAACGCATAAAGGGTTTCTTTTTAATATCATATTATTTTCTTAATATCAAATAACATTATTTTAATGAATTTTGTCTGTTTGTGATTGTACAGAATAAGCCTCATGGAAGCTGGAGAAGTCGAATGGCACGTGAGTCCTGTCAGGGTGAGATGTCCGCCCAGGAGGAAGACGCTCATCATTTCAGTGGCTCCTCCCACAGCCACCTGAGATTTGATTCGCTGCCTCAAGCGTTTAGCAAGGCGTGAGTATTAAAAAAAAGCAAAAAAACACTGCAAACCAATAAGTCAATAATTATTTACATGTTATGGCTGATAACCGATAAATAGCTGATATTAAAATTCTGTACTATGTTGTATGAAAAAATTTAATTAGGCATCAACTGAAATTAGGCATCACAACATTATATTGTACAGTATGAAAAATGTATATTTATTTTGAGATTACATTTAACAGTGCTCTTAAAGGGGTCATATGATGTTGCTAAAAAGAACATTATTTTGTGTATTTGGTGTAATGCAATGTGTTTATGCGGTTTAAAGTAAAAAAAACACATTATTTTCCACATACTGTACATTATTGTTGCTCCTCTATGCCCCGCCTTTCTGAAACGCCTCGATTTTTACAAAGCTCATCGTTCTGAAAAGCGAGGTGTGCTCTGATTGGCCAGCTATCCAGTGCAATGTGATTGGCCGAATACCTCAAGCGTGTGACGGAAATGTTACGCCCCTTACCATACTGTGATGCCTGCGGCAACCACATGTGACGACCCCGGGCTGGACTCCACTTCGTCCACGGTGAAAGCCGATCCGGCGATCCACAGCACTAAGTTGATGTATTTCCTCAGTGACCAGCATGGATCAGCTCCAGGCATGACGAAGCAGATATCGTCCTCTTTTGGAAGACCAAACAAAATAGTTTCGCTTTCACAACGAAGCACACAGCGCCTTCACGACATGGCGGTGGCGGCAACAACAATACTACAGCGAGAATAAAAGTTATGCCTTCTTTCTTTGCGTGAACATTTG